CACTCGTTTCTTCTCCGGCTGCGGATAGAGACTTTAATATAATGTGTCCAGCTCGGAGGACGGCGCGTATTGGCTTTTTTTTTCAAAATGTGATTGTAGTTCATTGTCAACCTTACCACGGTACTTAGGAGACGTCATTTGTGTCTGAATAACGTTTTGTTCATGACTTATTGATCCGTGAAATCAGAATCTCCCAATATCGTTCAAACTTTACTGAACTAAGCCAGAAGACCGTCTCATTTCGTAGACCGCTCGGTTTGCTGTTCCTTCACTTTATTTTTATATTTATATACATTTATTTTGGACGAAAACTTAGCGTGAGGAAAGGCAAGTGTGGCGTTGTGAGATATGGGTTAATTGCGTGACTCTCACGCTCAATGCGTGAGTGTTGGCAGCCCTGGTGTAAGTGTAAGGCTTACACTTACACTTACAGTCATTGCTTTCTGACGGACTTGACCCTTTACTCTTCAGGTTGCAAAGGGAAATTAGTAGCAGTCTACTCATGGATGTCTACTGCCATGCTATTCAGTTCACTTTCTCCTACTTCCTGTACCCGGTTTCCTGTCTAACCTTCAGTACAAATTTTACAAATATATAAATGTGCAAATATGAAACATACAGGTCAATATCACCTTGCTATTGGTAGCTGAACTGTCAATACCCCAAAACATATTCTTAGATATAAATACCTAATTTTGAATTATTTAGACACAATCAACACTTATAGTTTCATGTCTTGTTACATAAGAATAGATCATATTTGTTAAGTGTTATTATGGTAGAATTACTATTCTTGTGGTACTTATTAGGTCCATATTGAGCAGAGCATATTGAGACCAAAACTCATGTACAACAACTTCCTTACTTACAATAAATAAGCACTAATTAGAGGGTTATTGAGGGAAAACTCTCAACTAATGGCTTATTACTTGTAGAATATGGTCATGTAGAAAAAGGCATTAATAAGTGTTTTATAATGACTAATAAAGAGCCAATATACTGCTAATATGCATGTTAAGTGTACCTTAATATAAAGTGTTACCAAAAATACATGTATATATGTTTTGTGGATACAATAAATCATTTAGTGTATAAGTGACAATGCACAACCAGGTGTCTCCATGTACACCAAGACCCTCACTCCAATTGTCACATTTCCCAGCTATTTATCTGGTAATATAAAATCCAGAAAGGATGCACTTGCCTGCCATTAAAACATATGTAGGTTTTCATATTCTCAGATCTATTTTATTCAACTGAACACTCACATAATTCTTAGTCTACTAGATTTTTTTTTTCAATGATTAAGGAAACAAAAATAACATTCAACCTAATCTGAGAAATTGGGGAGTGAGTCTGCCGGTGACTGGCCACGGCTCCAGAAATTCATTAAACCTGCTTGTGGTTTCTCTCTGCTTTCTGCAGTTGTGCCAGCACACTCCACATTTGTATCAAATGAAGTCACCCAGCAACGTTTTTTTTCCCTCTTTCTAATAATTCAGAGTTATTTCGCTTCAGGGCACTTCATTTGCATTTTTATTGGAAACTCTTGACCATACATAATTGAAGTTACATAGGTTGATCATGTAGTGCAGTAGTGCATCATGTCTCACAATGAGATTTAACAGGTACTCTTTATGCAGATTTGTTAGCAATTTTCAGGCTATTCTGTACATTTGTAATGGGTGATTCAATTTTATGACTTTTTCATGCCACAAATGTTTATAGTCTCATAAAAATGATGTACTGTATTTTTTCCACTAAGCAACTTCTTTTTCTAGAGAGACCTAAAAGTGATTAAACAAATAAAGACAGAGAGGTGTATGAAGGTAGATATGGTGCAAAATGCGAGAGCGTGCAAAACCTAATGTGAGCACTTGCAGAAAAGAAATCTGAGCTTGTGTCTATACATTTACACTTGTATAAAATATCCATGTATCTGTGAACCAAATTTGAAGCCACAGAAGAAAAAAAAAGTTTTGTAGCTTGTAGAAAAAAAGTGAACTTAGTGATGAAATGTTCACTTGCAGAAAAATATATATTTTTAAAATATATTTTCCATTACAACTGCAACTTGGTTATTACAACCTCTCAAATCAGTCATTACAACTTCACGAATCTGCTCTGTGGCAGTAGAAATCGACGAATCTGCGGCCTTGACTTTTGCTACACTTCTTGCGATGAATGTGTTGCTAAAGTAATTTTCACCTGTAGATGTGGGGGGATGGAGGGGGGTTGGAGCGAAGGGGCGGAGCTATCAGAACGACGAGGCTCTCGGGTCAGTCATACACAAGTGACTACTGTTGCCCCTTTCACACCAACGTAGCTTACGTTCTAGCTCCGTGCTTCGCTCACAACAACAACAATGGGGGACTGCGTCGGGTCGATGATCGTGTTACTATTAATCATATGAAGCCAGATTAAATTAAATAACTACTTCTCCAACCTTGTACTTTTCTGCAGAGTGCCGTGGTTCATTGTTTATTAATGTGTTACAGGTCTACTGAACACAGATCTAGAGGTGAAAATTACTTTAGCAACACATTCATCGCAAGAAGTGTAGCAAAAGTCAAGGCCGCAGATTCGTCGATTTCTACTGCCACAGAGCAGATTCGTGAAGTTGTAATGACTGATTTGAGAGGTTGTAATAACCAAGTTGCAGTTGTAATGGAAAATATATTTTAAAAATACATATTTTTCTGCAAGTGAACATTTCATCACTAAGTTCACTTTTTTTCTACAAGCTACAAAACTTTTTTTTTCTTCTGTGGCATCAAATTTGGTTCACAGATACGTGGATATTTTATACAAGTGTAAATGTATGCACACAAGCTCAGATTTATTTTCTGCAAGTGCTCACATTAGGTTTTACACGCTCTCGCATTTTGCACCATATCTACCTTCATAGAGGTGAATGCACCATAGAGTAACATAAAGCATCAAACTAAGGTGAGAGATGTTTCTCTGCCCGAGGTGTGTTGTCTCCTGCTGTAAAGAGCTGTGTGGGTACCAGGCTACATATTAACACAGAGAGCATACAGGCCTGTCCAAGGTTGCTGTCCGTATGACTCACTTGTGACCCTCAGTTGTTGTCGAACCGAGGCAAAGAACGAGAATGCGTCTCAGCTTCTGTAAACATTGTTGGTTTCTAAGCTCTGAGGCTTTGGCTCTCTTTACCACAGGCTGGCATTGCATTCATTACTGGCCCTCTGCTTTCTTTTCTCTGTAATGTAGCACAGAATGGACTGAGTTAAGATGTCTCTTGAAACTAGAGAAAAGTTGAGTAAAATCTTCATATTCCCAATTTGTTTGCATTTAAAATATAGTATAATCATATAGCTATTCTTTCATCATTTGTCAGAAATGTTTATCCAAGACTTAAAGGTGGGGTAGGTAATTTTGGAGAAACCAGCTCGAGATCGCCAGAATTTGAAAATACACAGCCGGAAAAAATCTGCCACTTCCTTACAGAGCCCCTCCTCCAGCACACACGAACGCGCACATGACCAATGAGGGCACGAGATAAGTTTGTGCACAGATGGAAGGCTGACAGGCAGGTAGGCCATCCAGTTATTTTAGCCGGGCCGGCTAAAATGATTGGTCGTGCTTTTTACAGTATTACGGCTTCCACAGATGACATTTTTTTATGGATTTTTTGTCAAAGCACTGAAGATATTCATTGCTATCGGGATGTTAAGAGCATTCCATGGAATATAACAAAAAGTGTACCTCCAGCCGGTTTCTCAAAATTACCTACCCCACCTTTAACAAGTCTTGAAAAATATCTTGAAAACACAACAAATCTCAAATAAAAGGTTAATAGTCAAGATAACACCTGATATAGATACTAGTAGACTTTTTTAAATGATGCTATGTACATCTTGCTGCAGACAAATGTGCTACACTAGCTTGTTTTTAAACCCCCCCTCATCTCAGAGAAACAACATTAAAGATGAAATGAAAGAAAATGGCGGTTCAGTCTGAATATTAGCTTCTGCTCCACTGTATTAATCAAGTATATTAGCAACCCAGTGGTGCAAGCATCCTTTTAAATGTCTCCTCCAGATCTCCCTCTTTGCCTTGTGGATAAGAGTATAACCACTTTTTTGTTATACGGTAAAGAAAAGGCTTGTGGTGCTGACTCACTCGGCTTTGATCCTTTGGAAAAGCTGAAACCATCATCAGCCCTTATGCTCTCTGCCAAAAAAGAGACATTGTATATTAACTAAAACGTTATTATTAAGATACAGATCCTGAGACTGAGAGTAAACTATTGGTAACTGTGATGAAAAACATATATAGAGCTTCAGCATGTATCTAAATAGAGAAAATAAAGATTGACATAAATGACACTATGTAGTTTATTCAACACTAGCTTTGTAGAGTTTATATAATTCAGCTATATATTGTTTTAGGATGTAGTTTGATGTGTTGTGGGTCGGGAGATCTTGTTATATAAATCAGGAACACTTTCGATGGTGCTCTATGATTTTTGGTCATTTCTTTGTGCCTGTTTTTTTGATGATTCAAAAACAATAAATCACCATGCATCCATCTGGGATCAATGCACAAACAACAAATGGTTGTAATAATAATAATAAACTGAACAAACAGTACCTCGTATGCAACAGATGATTGTTTCTTGTGTCCTTTATACTCAGCTGCCAGTTTATTGGTTTCAACACGTTTAAATAAATACAGCCAAGCACTAAATCCTACCCTCATGAAGATCAAAATGTTCAAGTTTTGTTTTTGAGAGGTGTTTATTTATCTGAAAGGCTGTAGTTCATGGTGCTGTTGAGTAACACTGTGTTGTAATGTTCTGTTCTGCCTCATCTATGTTGCTTCTCAAAGCATATCAAACTAATACACTTCATATTCCTTTACACTTATCTGAAATTGTCAAAAATGTCTGAATGATCAGCTGCTTTTTTTTTATCAACTGTTGGGTTTCTTTGAAAAAATTATAATAACTTGATCGGCAGTTTCCTCTTTTCCAGGTTTCACTAGGAGGCTGTCCCTCCTTGAATTTCGGTATTCCTCGGTACTCATCTTGACGTCAACCCCTTGAGATTTGGAGAGAGGAGTTTTTACATCCAGCTTGACTTCAAGTCCCTGACCACCTGATCAGGTAACCAAGGCAACATGCCATATGTGTTGCCAAATGTGTATGAGTCTTTTAAGCAAAATCACTGATCAAATGATTAAATTAAAATGAACGACACAAGCTGTTTGAAATGCTTATCCATGATGTTGATAGTACTGTTTCTTTTTTCAATGAACACTATAGTACTCCTTGACATCACTTGTAAGGTGAATGTAGAGCTTCAGCGTTTACACTGACAGTTTCAGAAAGGTCTATCCTCCTGATGTGTCTCTACACAATATATTTATGTACTTTCAAACACTCCCTAACTGTACAAACAAGATATTCTAGGAATAACATGTGGTTCTGACCACAGGAGCATCAAAAATCAATGTTGGCAATATTATAATAAAGACATAAACCATAAGAATGCACCAGGATTGCTTTGGCGTCTCGATATGCATGAATACATGAAGCCAAAAACCAGCCAAAACCTCATGCGCCATATATCGAAAGCCTGTTTAGAACCACATTAATTGATCCTAACATTTGAAATGTGGTGAATACCTGTCAGAAAGAGAAAAAGAAACATTTGCAACAAGAGAGACACACAGAAAGAATGGCTGTTACCTCCGCAGATGAAATGGCTGTGTGGGTGGATGTACATGTGAGTGCAGGCTGCTAGGAGCTGTGAGTGGGAAGTGGGCACTGAGTGGGAAGAGAAGAGCTGCTTTAGTGAGACGATCAGCACCAAGGCCTGCTGAAAGGCAGTCACGCTTTCATGGCTTCTCTTTGTTTCCCGCACTTAAACAAAGACAGAGTTCCAGGTAGGGAGGGCAGTGATGGGTGCTGGATAAGAGGGTTTTGATACGTGTCTGCCAACGTCTGTGTGCTGTATTGGTGAGGGTCAGTAGCTGATGCTTCCAATTACTTTCACGCAAAATCATATTAACAGGACTGCACAGAAACATGATAGAATAGCCTGAAAAGACTGGACAGAAATAGCACATTTGGGTCAGAACATGTACAAAAAACAAGTTAATAGGAGGCCTTACAACTGAGGCAACTTGTGCAAGAAGCTTTTTGATTTCGTGACTGATTTACATACGTTTTTGTAGATAACAGGAGAAAAATATTCGTTTAAATCACTATTTTAACATATGAGATACACAAATTCTTAATTTATCCTTATCCCTATGTAGTAAAGAAAATTGTAATGAACAGTGGTGTAGATCCCTGCCACTTGGTGTGAAAGTCAGCCACTGTTCTTTTGGAAATATAGATCCTTTAAGCGGGAAGAAAGCGGTGTCTTTTTGTGTTCTACCCTCTCCTTTTACCAGTTCTTATACGGTTATAGGCTTTTAAAGGCCCATCTAGAACTAATGACATAATACCTGGTTTAAAGCTGCTAAGAGGCATTATTTTATGCCGCTCAACATCCTTTTACCTTCATGGCAAAAAAACACAAGTGTGCATCTTTCTTTGAAGAAAAGCCTTTGAAGCTGCATCTACAGTACAGTAAACCTAAGCTACACGTCTTCCTTTAAAGCTGCTCTAATAAGGGCTTCTTTTGACAGCATCTTAAAGCCTGCTCGAAGTGAGCTTCATTTCAGGTTTTAAAAAAGGACACCGGTAAAGACGTAGAGTAAAAAATAGATACCAATGGGATTGACACTAACATATGAATCTAACCCTATTAGATAGTACAATCACTAATGCGTTACTGTGAAGATCTACTGACAAACACACATTGGCTCCAACAGCAAAAGTATACATTTGATATTGTCCTTTGTTTAAAGGAGTTTGATAAGACGATTGCCACCGCTGTTGTTTCTTCAACTTAATCCATACAAAAATATCTGTTTGCCACACTATTACATTTAAAAAAATGTTTGATTGCACTTTGTTTTCTGTTCAATTTCAATATTTATACTAAACTAAGCTCTATTTACCTTACAGGCATGAGACTTGTATATTAATCTTCTCATTGAAATGTCGGCAAGAAAGTAAATAACCACATTCCTAAAAATGCTCGTCATTTAAACGCGCGTGCATTTCATTGCTTTTACATGCCTATACACATATACAGACATGCAAGCCACACTGTATACACACACACACACACACACACACACACACACACACACATACACACACACACACACACACACACACACACACACACACACACACACACACACACACACACACACACACACACACACTTAAAGGAACTATATCTTGCATCCCAAAGCTCCTCTTCTGTTCCCTAGCTCCTGCAGTGAGACGGCCCTATGAGGAGAGCCCCGCAATGCAGCATCTGTGTGACTCTCTCACACACACACACACACACACACACACACACACACACACACACACACACACACACACACACACGCACACACACACACACACATACACACACACACACACACACACACACACACACACACACACACTCACACAGGGAGATGGTGGTGTGTGAAAGTGCTCAGATCGTAGGAGTGAGAGCAGAACGAAGAGAAGGCTGTAGCCTGATGAGAGGTGGAGGAGGAGGAGGAGGAGGAGTAGAGGAGGAGTGTGTAGGAGGAAGAACAGTGATGGGACGAGGCAGAGGAAGGTGAAGAGGGAAGAAATAATAACAGGTGGGAGGAAGATTTATAGGTGGAAGCATGCAGTGAAGTCAGACAAAAGAAGAGGAGAAGAAGCCGATAAGAGCCAAGGACATGACAAATGGACTTCTTAATTAGCTCTGTGATTCCCTTGTCTGTGCAGAGTGTCTATGGCTGATGTATTCACAGACAGTTTATCAGTCCTGCTTCATCTCTTTAAGCTGGACACACATTGTGACACTCTTTAATTGACAGGGGAGAAATTGGTTTGAAACAAATGAAACTAAACTGATTGACTGAAGAGTGTTTTCAGAACAGGCAAGTTAATCTTCAGAAAACTTTTGATTGCTGTATGATGGCATCATTGGATTTAGCTAATTGCTATTTTTGCTGTCAGATGTTGTGTAGGAGCAGCCTGTAATTAGCCTTCAATCCACTGATATCTGTGAGCTCTTGCTTGATAATTTGTTGAGTTGAGATAATTCATGTTCGCCTATAAAACCTCCCAAACACTACAAATCTGGAATGCTACAACACAATTACCAGAAAACACTGGGTTCAGTCAGTGAGCTGTGACTTTGACACAAACTTACCAAACACATCAGCCTCTCTCAGTCTGCATATTCAAGAAACGGTTGTGAGAAGTTGGAATTACCAATGTGTTATTGTTGTACTAAAAGTACAACAATAACACATTGGTAATTCCAACTTCTCACAACCTGGCTTAAAGGGCTAATAGCTTTAGACCTTTTTGTTATTTAGTTCTCTCTCAGCAAAGCACTTATGTTTTGACAGTGGGCTAGTAATATAGAAGCAATGGCAGAATAATAAATATAAACTTTTAACCTTTGCAAAAACATGCAAATGCACTTCACCAAGGTCTTTCTGCTATGTGACGAGTCTAAAGGGCAAGGCCAGTTCAAAATACAATTTTAAATGTTGCAATCTGGCTGAAACATAAAAAAAGGCTATTATGAGTCCGACAGCTCACCTGCTATTTTGAGGTGATTTGAATGACTATGTGAAGTTTGTGCTCTTTTGTGACACTACTGAAAAGAGTGTGTCCTTGCCAATACATATTCTTCCTTTTGATTGAGCATCACGTATTTCCTATGGATTGTGCCTCACTGGAAAATATGGTTCAAAAAAGTAATAGAGTTGCGCTTTCCCCTCCCTTTGCAATTGCTGTCAAGGTATATAACTGTGGTTAAACCGGACAGTTTACAGCGTTAACGTATAGATTTGTCTCAATGTGGAAGTCCTTATGAAGTTCATTTCATGTTGTTCTATGGTGTGTATTTATTCCACCTCTAGAGCCACATTTAGCCAGACAGTCAGGGGAGGAAAAGTGTCCTGAGTGGTCTATTCTGAGAACAAAGTGATGAAAATTGCCCCCTGCCGCAACATCAGAAGTTTTCTGATTCAAAAAGGTGTTTTCCCAGAAATACTGCAATAGAGCCTTACATTAAAAAATAAAAACATACTTAGTGGGTTATTTATTCTCACAGCAACAGTGTGTTGGAAAGTGCAGTTCGTCACAACTGATTCATTCTTCTGAAATAATCTATTTGCCAATTTGCAATAGGTGAGAAGGAGCAGAGATGTTTATGGGCCTTCTGTGCACTCGTAACTCGTAACACTTTTCAGGAGATGTAACAGTTTGAGGCTGCCACATAAACTGCATAAAGGCATACACATTTTTTGTTAAGAATTATTAAAGTGCAGAGTAAAACAAAAGTAAACAAAGAAATCCCTGTTCGAACTCATAATAAGTACATGTTGCTCAGTCAGTACTTTGATAAGCCAATGTTGAAAGCACTGAATTTAAAGGTTAATATGTAGGTAGCTGAAAAAAATCCATTTAGAGAAAGTGCAGTTTCAATCCATTATAATGTACTTTGGTTTCAAAATGGAAACAAATCAATAGTTGTAGTATTGAGATTTTCTTTGAAGTGTAGATCTGTTCGACTCTACTGTAATATCTTAATGAGTCGCTATCCAAAATATCTAGCAGCAGTGTTTGGCGTCTGCTCACTATTCATCTCCATTCTTCCTGGGCACAGAGAGAGGGAGCGTATCAGCATCATCAACCCTCCCTCTGGCAAAGGGCCACAGGCTTTTTGCCAAATGCAACAGACCTGCTGTCTACTGAGACACTCGACGTCTGACTCTATCAAATCGCCATCTCATACAGTCTCACTCCAACTGGACACAATGCCTTGAGGACAGTATATTACCTGGACAATATACTTAGATTGCCTACTATCCTGTGATCTACGATTTTCTGCTGTCTGCTTGTCTCAATGCCTTCTCTGAAATAACTCTTCCTTTCTCTGTCCACTCTATTCTTCTCTGTGGTTCTCTCCTCATTATTTGGCCTCCTTGACATTTTTGCATCGTACACTAAACCTGTATTTAGCTTTGAATAAGGGGAATTGCAAGGCATGTACATTTGTAATGAGACACTGTACTACATTGCAGCTCCAGTTGGTTTGATGTGATGGGCGTAGTTTCACATGATAATGTTGCCTAATGCCTCTCCAATCTCTAATCCCAGTTTGCTGACTTGTCATAATAGCATTGGCCCCTATTGTCTTCCATCAGGCTTTAACCCGGCCGGCAGGTGGTGCTGTTTCATTCAAACGTAGTATTTTCATTGTTCATAAACAGATTGTACACTTAAAAATGCTGCTCACATCTGCTCAACGGGCCCCCACCCCATAGATGACACCTTGGGCCTGGCCACCTGTCAGAATGATCTTGTCGCGTCTGGATATCAGCCACCGGGCTCAAAGTGACCTTCATCATCAGACAGACATCAGTGAGACACAGCTTTAGGACAGCAGTCTCATCTCTGGGTTTTATGACCCTGTTAATATTGAGAGTGCTCTTCAGGCAGGGACATGGTGGTGTAACAAGCAACCAAAGGGACAGTGACAGTTAAGGGTCAATGCCGAATATATTGCCCTCTTTCGGACAGAGGGAGAGGGGGGAGCGTTTTATGAGGAGGCTGGTGCTGTGAGCTGCGGAGTCTCTAGAAGCTTTTTTCTCACTGATGTTCCCCTCAGCGCTGACTCATGCAAAGCTCCATTGACTCCTGACTTTGATCCATTTAGGCTGCAGGGGGCTTAGAGCCGTGACATATTCTCCTCAGTTCTTTTTTTATTATTTCTCTCTGTTTAATGCTATTCTTCCCCACTGTGCTCTATTCTTATGGGATTCTATTTCAGGGGTTATAAACCTTTCTGTGTGATGTAACCCTACGGATCTGTCAGTTAACGTTTCCCTTCCTTGACTACCCGACATGCTTCAACATGTTGTTTCTCATGGAGCTTAAATGTATCGTTTTTTTGTAGAACTTTTAATTATATTAACGCATATTGTAACACTTTGAAATGATAGCCTATGGATATTAAATGTTGAGGCTTTGTCTGTTTGCAGCCATGCTGATGGCATGGTATTTGGGATGGCCATGTAATTCTGTTGGTCACTGAATCATAGAAAAAACTATTGGATGAATATTCATGGTGATCCCTCTGACTTCTCCTCTATCAACATAAAGTTTACTTTTTAGTTTTTGATCAAAATATCTTAACATCCATTTGAATTTAAACTTTTAGAAATACATTCATGTTCCACACAAGGAGATTTGTATACATGTGTGTGATCCCCTGACTCTTTCAGTGCCACCTTTAGGTCAAAATGTCAGTTGGACCAATTATTTGCCATATGTATTTCCTCCTCCTCTCCTTGTTTGGTCTTTATTCTAGTCTTTTCTCTCACTGTGCAGACAGGGAGCAGTAGTATTGAGGGCATTGTGAATGCTGTAGCTGGTGCTCACTGTAGCAGCTCCTCAGTTCCAGGCCACAGTTATTGACTCTTGTTTTTTCCAGCAGACTACCCTTCAGTCTCTGAGTCTCTGAGGACCGCAGAGCTCAATTACAAACCGCTCCTTCTCACATCCCCTTATGCATAACTACACAGCAGCAAATGTTTGAAGTACCCTCGCTACAACCCACCTTCTTTGTTATGGTCTGCATGCAGGCTCACAGTTCTCTTTTTCTCTCTCAGACCTTTGTTAATCTCCATTTACGTCCTTTGACATCAAGACTGTATTCACTTGATGTTTGAAGACCAATACTACCTCGAACAAGCATTATGTCCTAATATACATGTCAATGTATAGGAAGAAAGTGGAATATCAATCAAAATGGCCAGGCGTATTAATTACCCACAGAAGAGTAGCAGAGTGCGAGTTAAGGACTTCAAGTACAAAACCTTGTGTATCGATCTAACCCCACATCAAACCCATTCATCTGGTTCCCCCCACCTACTGCTAAATATGGCCCAAGAGATCATTGAATCTTACTGACCGTTCCTGCCTCAGGTTATTATGTGGGTCGATCAATCCATTCCCCCCCCCCCTTTGCCTCTGCTTGATCTTTTCCCCATGCTGTTCTGGCCAATCATCGGCTTTCAGGGGGGATTTCATGTAAACATCAGGTTATGGTGAGGACTAGAAATACATATTGTTAAGATCATAATGCCCTTTTTCCTTTTGAAGTGTTTCAAGTGTGTGTTTTTCTTGTTTAAATATGTGTTTATATATACAGTAGATTATCAGAAATGATGAAGGCTACATGATTCAAGCTATTTTTCCAATGCCGAACTGGATCTTGTCAGATTGATCAAAGCCCACCTCAGATCCCTGTAACCTTGCATGAGTCACACAAATCCAAGGTCTGCACTGTTCATTTTCCACAACTCGTGATTTTCACCTGGGAAACTGGCTATATGAGTCATTACATACACACACAAATCAATAGGGTTTAATCCAGTGGCTGTCACCTGCCCAATAACACCCAAGGACAGTATTTCACACAACCACCTACACACAAACTCACACAAGCGCTGATGCTCTTTCAGAATTGTTGACAGTGGAGCTTCATGGAGCAGCCGCAGGGATTATGACTGACGAAAAGGAGATTTGAGAATGTGACTGATGCAGTGTGTCCTCTGGTCTGCACACTGTTCATTCTCCTCTATGATACATTGCTAATATTGCAGTTAATAATGCCTCCTCCCCTCCTCCCTCCATCCCTTCATGTCTCTCAGCCAGAAGGAGAGACCCCACCCTGTGCCCATTCTTCCCTGCTGCTAGCTAGCACCAGCATGGCAGACAGTCGAAAGCCAGAGGATGGTGCCCCCCAGTGGGACCCATCAGGGGGGCAGGAGGCCGCCGGCAACCATGGAGCCAATGGCTACTCTGCCTACAGGACCTGCCAGCCTGGTGGGACCCAAATGGCCACAGGCCCCTACTCCACCCGAGAGAATGGCTTCAATGGGGAGCTCAGTGGGGCCCCCGCTATAACCGCAGGTAAGATCTGTTTATAGTATTTAGATTATTCACTTTAATGTTACAGTAAGTTCTAGTGCGTTAACTGGAATCTGCCTGCATTATCGGATTGCTAAAATAAGAGGACGTGATGGGGTTTGTTTGTGTGGAATTGTAGAACAACATTTTGCAAATTAGCATTGGTGTTTTTTTAGTGTTTGTTTTGATGAGGAAAAGGTATTTACTCTTAGTCATATAATTTCCTCAGCCCATTTCGTACAGAAAAAGTAAAACAGATGAGCCCTCACCTATTTGTCAAAATGTCAAGTCTAAGTTTTACATTACATTACAAATTAAACAAAACGTGTAACTTTTAACTTTTCTCATGTAAATTTGGTCCATGATGTACAAGACTAAACATACCATGCTTTAAAGTGATGTAGTAGTACTGTAGTTTGTGTCAATCATGGCAAGCTTGGCTCACAGTTTGATTCTGGAAAGAAGTCCAAACCAACAGGAATATGTCTGCGTTTAATTTGTAAATGTGTGTAAAATGGGCTTTTGTTTATGAATGAGTGTGTACACATACCGTAAGAATGTGTTTGTGTATGTGTTCCTTCCATGAATCATATGGTGTGTGTGTGTGTTAAAGATTGCATATTCATGTGTAAGCATTGTCTATGTCTTTTGACAGTGTTAATATGTCATGTGATATGGTTTTACGTGTGTGTATGTGAATCCATGATAGTTGTGTCTTTTTGTGTGTGTGTGTGTTTGTCCTGTCTCTTCTTGTGCGTGGGTTTGCAGCACTCCGAGTCCTCACTAGAATTGCATACTGTTATTAAGAGTGCTATAATTACACAAAAAATCTTTCTCTCTACCCCCTTACCCTTCCGACCCTCCCTCACTCACACCCTGGAGACGAGAACATTAACGTACCAATGGTGTTACCATGGAAACGGCTCCCCTATAATTTACTTTGCCAGGGCTATTTTTTTGTTGTATCTTATCACAGACAAGAACGTTTAGCATGCGATGACAGGAACCAAATTAACCTCCCATCTCCCCGTTATTAAAGCTTAACCTGACACCAGTTTGAAGGCTGATTACAGTATTTTCAAGTTTCGCTGCTCATTGACATTTGACCTCTTTATTCCTTCAATGTCTATCGCTAATTATTTAGTATCATTCATACTTGATCAAATTATGTGACCGAAAGGGTGTAAGGAGAAGATTCAGATAAATCAGACTCTTCTCCTCACACACATCCATTATATTTATATTATACTGAAATCACATAATGACCTTCAAATTGGGATGACACTAATGGCGCATTTCCACTACAGCGCGGTTTAAGCATGCCGTGCCGTGCCCGGCCCGTTTTTGGTTGCGTTTCCACTAGGCGTAGTTCCAGCTAGCAGGGTACTTTTTCACAGTTTTTCTGGCTTTTGAGAGCCAGAGGTTCTTTCCGGGCCAACAACCAGGCTGAGTATGCTAAACTAGTGAGAGAATCGCTGGCAACTACAACAAAATGAACATATTTTACCGTGATTTAATTGTAATACACGTTTCAAAATGATGCCGAAGTAACAACATACTGATACCGGTTAGTACAAACCATGAATTAATGCTTTGACAAGTCTGCAGACAGACGGCAGGCGAAAAACCTTTTAAAATACGTGTTTTCTGAATGGAGATTGGCTAAGCTAACGCAGTATATGCTCCGACCGTCCACACTCACAACAACGGCCTATACAGACATAAATAAACCAGCGACTGTACTCGCCATGACACAGACAGTCTGTGGTTTGTACTTGTTTAACTTGTGTCTAGTTTCTGAACAGATATGAGGAGCTGTGAGATCTGAGGGCTAACAGCTAACGGCTGATGTTGGTTTTGTGGTTCTCATTGAAGATGACGTCACGGCTCCGCCTACACTGCGTTACTATAGTTACTACCCCAGTTCCTAAACTGTAATGGAAACGCAGCATAAAGTGAGCCTGGCCTACCAAGGCCTAACTATACCGTACTAAGCCGTGCGAGGCCCTGCAGTGGAAATGCGCCAAAAGCTTCTGTTCAGAGATTACTTATCTAAAAAAATGAAATGTTAATGTTCGTTTTTATATAACTTGTACTTTTTTCGTGAAGCATGCCAGTCGAACCGACTGGTCAGTTAAAAAAGAAGTCTCTTTTAAATGTACATCTCTAGTTTATGTTATCAGGCACATTTAGAGTCCAGAGCCCAGAACATTGCTTAGATGCATGGCCGACATAATAAGCAACAGCCATGGTCTCATGTGTTGCTCTGGGTCTTTATTAGCACATATCAAAGATATGAGAGCTGTAAACAGCCTTCTTCAAACTTCAAAGGAATGACTTGAAACTGATGAGCAAGTAAACATTATTTTTTATTTCTCTGAGAGAGGAAAGCTAATGATCTACTATAAGTTTTATCCCAGCAATTTAGATCTGTGCTTTCACTCCTGTCTCATTGTCCTCATCAGCAGTGGTGATTCTAGAGTCTGTGGGGGCCCTAGGCAAACATTCACTGGGGGCCCCTCGAACCAGCTTTTCATCACCACGCACAGCCGCTAGCCCCCCTCCCGGAGCAAGGCAACAAAATGTAAGATAAGAAGCAGCATTTTACGGCGCGCTATGCATGGGGCCGCCTTCAGGGGGTTTCCCGACATGTCGTTGCAGTAAATTAAAGGGTGTTTCATGTTGTCGTTGCTGTGGACCTTCTTAATCTACCTTCTCTGGGGGCCCCCTTCTGGTCCGGGGCCCCAAGCAGTTGCCTGCCTTGCCTATCGGCAAGCGGCGCCCCTGCTCATCAGTAAATACAACTGACACTTGATATAAATCCTTTCAAAGCATCATTTGTCTCAAGACTGAAAACATGTTGCCAGCCTGCTTCATGTGTGGTATAGTCACGTAGAAAAAACAAATAACAAATAATTGCTCATAACGATGCACTGATGTATAATAAAATGAACGAGTTTCAAATGAAAGTTGCCCTACACATAAAAACAATATTCCCCTCTCCTGCACCTTTTACAGACAGTTATCTGCAATAATCAATAGATGTTTTATAATCATCTGCATACAAAAATGACATTTTGTTTCAGCATCTGAGTGACAGAACTTGTCTGCAGAGCATGGTGTCAGCACACATTAGCGTAGCTCCAGAGCAGGGCAGGGCGGCAGTAAGTGGGGCAGGATGGGTGACAGAAGGGCTGATGGTGGCACTCGGTAAGCCTTCCTGTGAAAAGCTCTTCAGACACAACAGGAACTATTGAAGCACGAAATTGCACTCTTGACTTTCCTTTTAGGCTAAAGTTGAAAAAGCCAGCGAGCCATGCTGAAAGTGGTCAAGAGAAAAAGATGAAGAGAGGGAGACGGAGAGAAACAGATCGAGTTAATAGAAGGAGAAAGAATGCAAAGGGTCGTTCATCTTATTCTGGAGAGTAGTTGGCTTGCATGAATCGAGGAAGCCCTTCTGTTATGTTAGCGATATCGCATTGACTGATGTCACTGAGCTGTGGCAATTATCTGGGCATACTGTTGAGATGACTGGACAATATTTTGTGTTGTTAAGGTCCCTCCATCTCATTAGCCTCAACGAGTACGTTTGGCTGCAGCAGAGAGGAGATTTGACCAAACGAGTTTCTGGTGTCTAGGCACAGACTAAAAGGAACAAATCCAAAGTTGGAGGATTTCTGAATCACAACTTTCCTCGGAGGGGTTTACAATTTGTTATATACGGCACCTTCTATTCTAAGACCCTTTACTTGAATAATGAAATACTTCACCAAAAACAAATATAGAAACATTGGGAACAGTAACAAAGAAGGGATTCTTTTTTTCAAGACGGAGAAAGATGGAAAAGATGTTGCAGAAAAGACCGAAAAATATATGTAGTAACATATATGTATAAAACACAATGACGATATTAGGAAATCCTTTTGTGGTTTAATATGATTTAATTAGAAAAAAATGCAAACGGTTTACGAAATGTTGGTTTTATTTCAGTAGGCAAACATCTGGGCTTTGTTAGATTAATTGTTCGGCTACGTCACTGCCATCGTTTCCATTTATACTGGAGGCTGCAGACTGAGAGACTGAAACAACTGGATGTGTTGCTGGCATCTGAATTACATTGGGACCCAAATCAGTGGCCCACCAGTGTGTTGCTATGGCAACCACTTGCTTTACACATTTCGGGTGCAGGCTGGTTTAAGGCAGGCACTCCTGCTCTCTCCGTACCCTCTCAGTCCTGCTGTGTGTGTGAGTGTGTGTGTGTGCGAGTCAGTCTGGCGGTGTGTATCGTTGACTCAGGGCTTCCAGTCGGTGTCTCCGCTCAGAGAGGGAGCGCTTTCAGCTTCTGTCTGTCATACAGGTAATACAAGCGTTTACTTAATTACGACTGTGTGTCTGTGTGGATGTAAGCTGGTACTGGAGATGATGAATGCAGATATGCAGAGGATTCTGTTTAACAACGCGGCTATTTGTGCATGTGGGATGTACCTTCTGTCAAAGCCAATGAAAGGCGGCTGTTCTGACATTTGACATCACTCTGTCAGAGAGATGCTGAGACAACCAGACCAGACAAGTTTTCATCACCGCAGGCTAGCTTTGTTAATGTTACAAGGTCATTTCTTTTTACAGTGCCGTTGCTTTGTGAATGAGCAGTATATTTTTTTATAGCCAGACTGCCTTATTGGACCCAGTGCCTGTGATGTTTCTTTTAAATGTGTCCGTTTTACTGTGTATCTGGAAACTAGATTGCATTTAATGTTTAACCCTCACAAAGCCTATGCAGAAATGAACTGTAGAACAACAAAGGGAGTAGTCCAGTTGGAACCATTACACATTAGATTACTTCATTCAGTTTTAAACTTTAATATATGCTAAATATTATATTACAATAGATTTATTTGCGAAGATTATACTCCAAAAACTGGTCAGGTATGTCATGTAATTTCAACTGGATACTCTAGCTTTGCACACTTATATGTTAGTTTAAGAATAGTTTCTGTATGTTTTTTTACTTACAACTAAACAATTTTTCCTGAAAACACTTTTATTTCATATTGAGATTTATGTGCCATGCATTCGTTTTTCTAAAGCAAGTCATTCCCAAGGTTTAGGAATTTGTCGAGCGTTTTCTCACTCAGGAAACAAAAATATTCATATCTTTTTGGAGCATTATTTTAAACCAGGGCAAAGCCACAAGAGCAGTTTTTTATTCTTGATTCCACAACCACTGGTTGTGTTTGATGTTGATCTTTAAGCTGTATTTTCCGGTAGAGGCTTGGAATCATTGAATAGGTGGTACACGTATATCAGAGTGTGCTCTTGAAAATGGGAAATAGCAGCTTTGAGTAGGTGAGTGGGCAGTGTTAAGTGTTCCCGGAAGAAGTGTGTGCATGTGTGTGTAGATGCATGTGTGGATGCCTGCCAGCTTGTTTGTGTCGATGTGTGGGCGATTGTTGGATAGAAAGAAACAGCAGCAGCAGTAAAAGCATTGCACTGCCACCCAATCCCACAAAGCCACTGTTTATATGCAAATGAAAGTTTGTTTGATTAGAACTCTACAGTTCACCCTGCGTGCAATACTAAAACAGGCAGAAGCTAAAACATCCATACAGTAGGTGTCATCTTTAGTCTGCACTCGGTTGCTGGGTTTCCATAGCAACACTCACTGCCTAATCATCTCTACAGCAAAGTAAACATCTATTCTCACTCACACTGCTTTTATTACACGTTTTTAATGCTTGTTTTGAATCAAATTGACAGATGATATAATCTCCCTGATGTTCTGGAGTTTTGGGATTTATACCAAACAAATTCCTTCTGCTAACTGCTTCTTTGAAATGTTTTTGTTCTTGCAATAATCTTGAAGTTGATTAACCTTGTGTCTGTTTTTCTGTGTTCAGAGCAAGTGTCAGCGCGGATTGTGCAGGAAGTGACGGCGGAGGCAGTGGCGGTACTGAAGGGAGAGCAGGAGACTCAAAGGCTGCCATCAGGTAAGACGCACGCACACACGCACACACGCACACACTTATTTGCTATGTACATTTTATATTCTTAATGTTCAGTCAGGATCATAGTTAACATTATCATGGGACAACAGCTAAATAACAAAGTTAATATCAGTCCTGGTAAGCATACAGTCACTACGGATGAGAATGGGGAGAGATTATCATCATTTGTTTTGGGAGAAAATGAGAATAGATAAGAAATAAATATACTTAATTATTAAAGAAGATTTTCAAAAATAATAATTATTCCTTCCTCTATCTCACACCTACCTTTGAAGTTGAAGACACCACAAATTTGCCCCCCTCACCTCCCCCCTCACCTGCTGCCGAGCACTTTGGTCCTCTGGAACAAGGTAGGCCAAGAATACAACGCGTGTTCATGAGAGTATGTCTCAAAAAGAGAAGATTGTGATTCCCTTCTTTTCCCCGACTGAAGCCTTGGGATGTTTTGTTGGCCAACACATTTGGGTATTGATGTTGGTTGGCTCTGGGGCTTCTCTTTACCCCCCCCCCCCCCCCCCCCCCCCCTCAGGACATGCCCTATAGGAGACAAACCACACATTGGTCGCCTAAAGAAGTCTTTACATACCAGAGTTGCTTAAAGCAGGAACATTATCTCCATTTTTCAGACATGCATTTCCTCCTAAATCCTGCTTCCTCCTCATCGCACAGCTGGAACCGATACAATTTGTATCTTCATCGTCATCATCATTTATCTCTGAAAGAAAGAAGCGCTCACACGCATGACCGCCTTGTGACAACAAGTGCACTCTTCTTTATCAGCTTCTTCTTCCATGTTCCTTTCTAACATCTCCACCTGGTCTTACCACACACTTAAATGACAGCCAATTTAGGTAACCCTTCAACTTCTTGTTGTTTGTCTTTTTGGTTGAGTTGTGTATTTGGTTCTGCATGTCTTATCATGGTGTTTTCTTGTGATTGTCCCGTCAGTCTTCTTTGCAATTATTTGTTTGTATTGTTAGTGTTTATTGCTATAGATAACAATTTTAGCCCCATAAAATGTAACTTGAAGAGATAGCGTAAATTCTGATTTGTTCATTTGTTTTGAACTTGTATTGAAAGTTGCAATCATGTTGTCTTCTTGTTAAGCTGTGAAAAACGTTCACACCAGCGACATTATAGTCTGTGTTAATCAGTGGGTTGTACATCAAAGTAATTTGGCTTCATATTATCAGCCCATAATAAATATTGGCTGTAATTTCATTATCGAAATAATACATAATAATATAAATGTCCCTTTGTCGGCTTACTTGTTGTCGTGCATCGCCTGTTTTTCTTAAATACTTACATTTCAAACAATATGTTCTTTGCTTTTCGATTTTGACCATTCTCACTGTTGTACTATTTGGTTCTTTATCTCTGACATTGGAATTGTAGGCTATGTTATGTAGTAACTTCTTTTGCAGCTCCAAAATGGTTGTACTACAGTGTAACAAGCTCTTCCGTTTGCCTCACGCTTGGCCTGTCTCTTCATGTCTGCTCAGAATATAATGAGGAGAGTCAGTAGATTGTTCAACCAGGCACTAAACCCAGATGATCAGATGGTTGTGGTAACATTGTGTTTTAGTATTAGAAGTAAGGACTGCGTAAGGAGTGTCCTATAGAAGGAGGCAGTATCGTGCAATTGTTAACAGATAGTGTGCTCTAAGGTAAAGTGTTTTGTGGTGTTGTTGTATAAGAGTTCATAATTCAAAACAAGTAGGCACTGAAGGACTTAGCCATAAGATTGGCTAATGGTTTCTTTGAGTTTTGTTTAGGCCAAAACAACTGCTGCATTTGTAGTTTAAATGTTGTTATTAGTGTCTGTGTTTTATGTCTTTTATTAAGGTTTAATCATTCTTACGTGAAGCAGATTATTGTTATCTTCCTCAAACATTGCAACATTTTACTACAGTATGGCTGGCCCACAAAGCATTGTGAATTTTGAGTTGCTTTTCACTGTCACCTTGTCGATGTCCTGTGTGTTTCTCTTGCTCTCAATCAATCTATATTTTCATATTTCATCTCCCTGTGTGATGACTCTATTTTTGTTGCTTATTTAAAATGTGTCTGTTATTGTCTCCCTTTCACTTAAGACATGTCCATCTTAAATACAATTTAGGCTACTTCTATTAAAAGTAATAATAAAAAGTAGTAATTTCCTGAAAATGCAAGAATGGCAGCTAGCCCCAGTTGAACTCATTTGGTATGACCTCCTGTTTGGCATTGTCTCATAGCTATACTGAAAGCTCTAACCAAGGACCTTATTCAAAAAAAATATATATATATCATATCTTTTTTAATATTCATCAATAGATGCCAAACAGCAAAAATATACAACAACAACAAGAAACATATGGTGCAGTTAACTCGTTTTTTATTTTGTAATTATTTTTTTTCTAAACTTGGATGGGTGTTTAAAAATGTATAAAATTAAAAGTCAAAAATAAAGTTTCTTGTTAGCTATTTTACGCAAAAAAACCCTGATCAGGTGGATTCCTATCAAGTTTTGAAAGAACCTCAATCTGAGTCTTAATATTAATTAAGATGGACATTCTTTGGTGTGTTCTCCATTTTCTATTGTTTTCGTCTTCATTGTCCTTCCGTCCTGTCTCCCTCTCTTCCTCTTCGCTCTCTCTTTCAGTCCGTGTGTCCAGATTTCCCTGCAGTTCTTCTCCTTGTGTCTGTCTTGTTTGTAGATGTAGGGGATGAGGAGGAGGCGGGCCCTCTCCGCCGTTTCCAAAATTCTCGGGAGAGGTGCAAGTTCCTCGCCCCCTCCATCTCAGTTTCCGTGCCCGAGGACGACCCCTACCACTCCGACGACGAGTACTATGAGCACCCATTGTTCAGCCCTGAGTGGACGCACTCGGGCTCCCGCCCCACAGGGCAGACTGTGGCCTTTAGACAGATCGAAGGTGAACCACGCATGGTTCCTGTTTGCCATTCCCCCTCCATTCCTCTCTTTCTCACTCTGTTTCCCTCCTTTCTCTTTTTAACACCTATTGCCTCTCCTTCTGTGATTTGACCTCCATCCCTCCCGTCTCTCCGTCCGTCAGTTCGTCTCTTCCTCCGTCAGTTCGTCTGTCCTTGTGTGTGTTGTGTTTGTGTGTCCTTGTGGTGTCTGTTTGTTCTTGTGATTTTTGTTTGCTCAAAAACTGAGGAATTTCATATTTGTTTAACAGTCATATATTTTTTCTTTCATCGATTTCACCCAAAGTCATTGCTACCTGTGGTTGCCATGCTGTTAAATCCAACACATAGCAATGATGTCTCTAAAGTAGGATTCAATGGACATCACTACAGCTCTCACTACAGCTCTCATCAGTAAGTCCCATTGCCACCAAGGTTTACTTTTGTGACTTCAAATAAGGTCCAAATGGTTTTCTGAAGTACAGTGCATGATTAATAACATCCATGCACAAAAAACTTTCAGAAATCCCCCACACCAATCTTAAGCTATGAACAAACACACACACACAAAATAGATGGCTTTTTTCCCCCCAACATAATTTAACACAAGACATTACAATGATTATGTATAATTTTTTTTTAAATAGCATAATTGTAGACTACTTCTTAGATCCCCCAGCCTCCCCCAACATATTATAATCACCGTTGACAAAAATCTTGTCGTAACATTGTTTTACTTAAAGTTATAATATGTAGAAACGTCTGGGTGCAAAGCAACTGAACAGAATATTTGTTACATTCGGAACGCAGCATACTCAAAATGTGCAAAGCTGCACCCCCTTATCCACCATTATACAGTAAGAAAATCTGGTCTGCGCAATGTCCTGAATCTTGAGGCATTTTGCTTTGCCTGTAATGGACTGCAGCTCCTCAAGGTTGCATTTTCTTAACGCAGCGTCCACACGGCGGCTTGCGTTGAAGCTTGACGGTGGGCGTGTCTGAAACTCGACCAACAACCAATCACATGAATCTCCCGCCCCGGACACACAAGCACGCGGTTTGATTGGCTAGAGCTTGTACTGGCATATGATTTGATTGGCTGACGCTTCCGTCGAAGCTTCAACAGTTGAACATTGCTCAACTTTTGAAGCGAGCAATGCGAGCAAAGCGAAGCGACGCGACCACAATGCAGTTCGGCAAAGCGTGACGTCACCCCATTTAAAGTGAATGGGCAGAAGTGTTGAAGCTTCAACGCACGCCGCCGTGTGGACGGGCCGTAAGAGCCAGGGATTTCAGAAGTGCTCTGAACAGAAGTGCCTCTACAAGAGCGCAATTTTAGACCTTGAAATATTTCGACTTCATTTATATTTTCATTTTCCAACCTCAGTTGTCAAATATGGTAGCTCAACTTAAGTTGAAGGCAAGAGAAAGATATAAGTGTATATTTTTGTGTTTTTGGTAACACTTTATATTAAGGTATACAAATTAACCATCAACTATTTGTTAATTAACATGCATATTAGCAGTATATTGGCTCTTTATTAGTCATTATAAAACACTTATTAATGCCTTATTCTACATGACCATATTCTACAAGTAATAAGCCATTAGTTGAGAGTTTTTCCTCAATAATCCTGTAATTAGTGCTTATTTATTGCAAGTAAGGAAGTTATTGTACATGAGTTTTGGTCTTAATATGCTCTGCTCAATATGGGCCTAATAAGGCAGTAGTACCACAAGAATAGTAATTCTCCCATAATAACACTTAACAAATATGATCTATTCTTATGTAACAAGACATGAAACTATAAGTGTTAATTGTGTCTAAATAACTCAGAATTAAGTATTTATATCTAAGAACATGTTCCCTATTTTAAAGTGAAGCCTTGTTCATAACCAATAAGCTAGTAGTTTGACTCTAATTGACCTGATCAGGTTCCCTATTCTAAAGTTGCCTCCTCTTCACACTTTGTAAATACATTGTAAATACATTATAGCACACAACTACTGAAATTAACCTCAACAGTACATGAACATGGAGGCGTGTGGCACAGAGCGTTGGTGTTCGGATCAAGGGAGCACAGGTTCAAACCCCACTGCAGTCAGCATGTCGTTGTGTCCCTGGGCAAGACACTTCACCCCAAATTGCTCCTGTGAGGATTGCCCACAGTATTGACTATGTAAGTCGCTTTGGATAAAAGCGTCTAACAAGTAACATGTAATGTAATGAACAAAGTAGGCACACGTTGAAATATCTGTTTTATTAATGAACCACTAAAGAGGTTCAGACACATACCAAAACATGTCAAGTTTCTCCAAGGCTGAGAACACATATGCAGCCTGTACTTTTTAATAAAAACAGATTTTTAACAGATTGTATGTATTTGTGATCATACTGTGTGACCTGCTTGTATGTAGGCCTACTTACACAATAGGTGTACTGTTCTCTCTATGTGTCTCTCTAGGGAATGAGCAGCCATGCTCCTTTATTGACTTATTTTCAGTCCACTGACATTCAAACGGAGTGAAACTATAAAAAAAGAAGTTACAAGGCACTTAATGATCTCATACATGCAAGTGTAACATACACAGATTAACACACGGGACCGCTAAGTGTAAACAATGTAAATAAAGCTAATGCTAGCTGTGCAATAAGCATGTATACAGGCTAGTATGCAGTGGCGGCGCCAGGGTATTTTTGTTGGGTAATCTATGGTAGGGCTAACCCATACAGTGGTGGTGCTCAAGTCAGTATTTGCAATTTAATTACATACACGCTATATCGCACCCCGTGAAACAGTGAAATGCCACACGTGAGGTTTAGATTATTTCCCTTTCTCAATCAAAATGGAACTGTATGAAATAAAACGGCACATTTGTCTTATAGTAAATAAAAAGGGATCACTGTGAACGGACGTATGATAGTACACGTTGAAGATCCAATAGGGATACTGAATGGCGGTTCCGATTGATCTCAATCAGTAATGCATGACGCATACCCAACGTTTCGTTGCTCTGATTGGCTGTAGGTCTATTCAAATTGCATTCGGAGGCATTTTGATCTGACCGCGGCCGCGCTGATATTATAACGCCAGAGAATTTCCACACCTTTAGTGTATACAACTCCCCCACTACTTAGACTATTCCTTGCACCCCTCTTCTATAAGCCCGAATGGTCTCAACCATATTGCATCAGTAACGTGCACTTGTTGTTACAGCAGGATCAGTTTGTGTGTTGTGGACACGACCCGTATATTTTCGCAATCCGTGTTCTCAACATTTTGCATTTAGCTTATTATTTAATTGAATTTGCTTACTTTAACATCACTTTTCATGGTGGGGCTAAGGTGGGGCTAAGCCATTTCTTGGTATGGCTGTAGCCTACCCCAGCCATACCCTGGCGCCGCCACTGCTAGTATGGCTAACGCTAGCATGTATGCTAACACTACCGTGTATGCTAACGAGCACGAATGCTAACGCAAATGCTAGCGCAAATGCTAGCGCGAATGCTAACGCATTTTCTCATTGTGTTTAAACATCTCCAAATGACATCACATAAACACAATACATGTTACTAATCCTTACAGTGTAAGTGTAAGGCTTACACGTACAGTCATTGCTTTCTGACAGACTTGACCCTTTTACTCTTCAGGTTGCATAGGGAAAATTAGTAGCAGTCTACTGCCATGCTATTCAGTTCACTTCCTGTACCCGGTTTCCTGTCTAACCTTCAGTACACATTTTACAATTCTCTAATTCCCTTCTCTCCCAAACACTAGCCTGCTGTGTTTGAGCAGTAAAGTGATTCCACTCAAACAGAGTTGGTACAGCATCTTTCACAAGCCTCCTACGGCCATCAAGGGTTTTTGGCTCTATTAGTTGATCCGTAGCGAAGTGACGACTGCAGACCTTGGAGTGAGAGGAGATTGTAAAGTTATCGCGTCGTATTTTAACCAGCCACTGTCTTCGCAGCTCGAGTTCGGTCGGAAAGCCATGGAAACTTAGGACGCCGTTGAATTTAGCTGACGCCGTACAAAGTGGGACACAGCAGTGCTCGGAGTAGTTCTTCACTTGTCTTTGCAAATGTTCCGTTTTGAAAATCTTCCGTCGACTCATATTTAAACCATAGATTTAAACAGTAAAACCTTTGTGGACGATCTCCCGCTCAGCTACGCAGACCGGAAGCAAACCGGAAGCAGCCGAGCCGTATTACGGCTAAGCCGGAAGTACGTCTCAGACCCTAGTGCATGTAGCCTATTGTAAATGTGCAAATATGAAACATACAGGTCAATATCACCTTGCTATTGGTAGCTGAACTGTCAATAGGCCTACCCCAAAACATATTCTTAGATATAAATACTTAATTTTGAGTTATTTAGACACAATTAACACTTATAGTTTCATGTCTTGTTACATAAGAATAGATCATATTTGTTAAGTGTTATTATGGAAGAATTACTATTCTTGTGGTACTACTGCCTTATTAGGCATATATATTATATTTATATATATATATTATATTTATATATTGAGCAGAGCATATTGAGACCAAAACTCATGTACAACAACTTCCTTACTTGCAATAAATAAGCACTAATTAGAGGGTTATTGAGGAAAAACTCTCAACTAATGGCTTATTACTTGTAGAATATGGTCATGTAGAAAAAGGCATTAATAAGTGTTTTATAATGACTAATAAAGAGCCAATATACTGCTAATATGCATGTTAATTAACAACTAGTTGATGGTTAATTTGTGTACCTTAATATAAAGTGTTACCGTGTTTTTTTTTACAAAAATGATTCTTGATGAGACAGTAAGTGCTGATATAAAAAAGACAGATATTAAGAAATACATCTCTGCATGCCTTTAACCAAAGAATATCTTCTTAGTTTCCTTTCATACTGGTTACAATAAGCCCCAAATGTAGAAAAGCAAACAAACAGAATAAAAAACGACTTGCACACAACACTGTACTATTTGTGTAATGTACCTACATGTGTGAGCAGACATACACTTTAGTTCATCTTTTCCTAGAGATGAAAGTGTCCCATCGTAAGTTGTGTTCTCACATAACCCAAGTCTGTGTTGCCTGTAGTCTAAATGTGTCCCCCTTTCACCCTGTTTTGGAGAAGAAGAGACCATGGAGGCTCTTACAGCTGAATACGAGGAGGAGGTGGAAGATGAGGAGGAAGAGGAGGAGAGTGCAGCAGAGTCCGAAGCAGCTCTTGATGAGCAGCAGTGGAGCGGGGAAGAGCCTGAGCTGGACAGCCCCCAAGCTGAGCCTTTAGAGCAGGCAGAGGCCATAGACAAGGCCCAGGATCTAGACCTGGAGCCGGGAGAAGCAGCTAGTGCTGCTACAGACAGTTCTGTGGACAAAGATGAGGAGGAAGCAGGGGGGTGGGAGAGCCCTGAGACAGGTGTGTCCTGCCCTCTGCGCTCCCTGCCTGCATGTTACTGCATTGTCCACTGTATAGAAATGCCAGATGTGTCAAAAGGAACATATAAGCACATAACATAAGCATTATAATTCAAGTGGAATGGCAAGTTACCCTCCCTGCACTACGCTCTGGCTGCAAGGCAACACAGGCTTGTTGGTGAAAAGAGTCACATTCTTTTAACCTATACTTTAACTTTTCCCTATTGTGAGCTATTTTTGCGCTTTGATTTTATTTTTCCTTGCTGTTGTTTTTGGGGCCGGCCATTTTGTATTGGTATGATCAAGTGAAGTGTTGCTGAATGTAACAGTGCTCTTTTTTCACCGGCTATAAGCCTACAGGTTTCTTGTTGTGTTTACACGTGGCTTGGTGCTGGTATGCGAGTGCTATGCACTTTTTGTAACCATGAATCATACTTACTAAACCTGGGTCATTCATATTATTATCATGATCCTGTGTACATCATATGCAGGGGATTTCATGGTTGGCTGTTTCGTGTTAAGTGTGATATAGTTATTTCATCAAATGCCTTATCATATCAGCGTTTGTTTGTTTTTGGCACTGTTAGTGGCATTGTATGGCATTTCTCTGTCATTCACTAACAAGGTTCTTCTCTATTTGGGTGTACTGATATATGAGTAATTTTTAAGATGAAAAATGTATTCGCTATCAATTTATGTATAACTATGTGATAGATTTGAATTCGTGAAAATCGCATTCTGGGGTAGCCATTGTAGAACGAATGACAGAAATGTTGTACTTCTTTCATTTGATGTTTTGAAGACTCGCATGAATATCCATCCCATTCATTGTTCCCCATAAATCAGCCTCACAGTTTCCTCATGCCGGTTCCGTCACATACCATGCCATATTATCATCCATCTGTGACTTGGTGGACCCCATAAACTCGCCGTACTTCTTCAGCGATGGCCGTATCATTGTGCTGTAAGTTTCTGAGGAGAGCTTTGCCTGTTTCTGTAGTAACGGCTTTCCCAGTCCCTGGCTTAATAAATATCTCACTTAAAGCATGCCAAAGCTTTGTTATTCTCTGTTGATAAAAACAGCAAACTTACAGATGTTCTTTCAGCTTTAAAGATGGACTCAGACAAGCAGGGAAGCGAGAAAAGTGGTTCCATGAGCCCGGACAGCATTGGGTCGGAGAAACGTCCAGAGGAGTTTTTTGAGCCCCAGATGCAAGGGTTCTTTGCTGGGGAACGAGTTGTACCAGAGAGCCCCACCATGGATATGCCATCCTTTGTACCTCCAAATGTTCAAAACCAAGCCAAAGAATCTGCCAGCTCACTCACACTTCAGCCTACATATGGCGAGCCAATCACAGTGTCAGAGAAACAGCCGTCAGTGGAAGTGGTGGAGATCATCAGCATCGGTGCTTCCTCAGATTTCTCATCACTGGGAGACAAAAGTCAGGTAGAAGTCTCAACGAGGGACTCTGCAGACAGATCTGGCATGTCAGCATATTTTGAAACATCAACTGTGGAAGTTGAGGAGTCTTCCCAATGTAAGGCCGAGGGTTATTACGAACTGAGCAGATCTGGTGAAGAGAAGAGTGCAGTTGACGACAGGCCCCCGGAGATCAGCTACAGCACACTAGCTGAAGCTCAGGATAAACCGGAAACTAAGGAACGTACATCAGAAGACAGTAGATTGTTCACAGTTCCCGACAGGAGTAATGAATGCAGGCTATCCCCTGGTAAACTGGCCTTAGAGCAGAGGAGTTACTCACTTAATATTACCATTGGAGCAACCGATCCGAGCGGCCGGGGCAAACCTAGGAACTTCTCTCCACTGGCCACAGACATCATGTCCTACACTAGTGGAAGTCTAGATGAGGCAGCAGACTACCTCCCAGTCACTACACCCTCTGTGGATAAGCCTCCACCCTTGCCTCCACTGATATTGGAAACTGCGGCTTCCATCACTTCAGATTCTTCATCTCCTCCAAGGACCAGAGAACCAGTTTCAGTACCCAGCCCTGAACTGGAGTCCCCAGAATCACCACAGCCCCTTAAGAGCAACTTTAAAAATGGCGCTGTCATGTCGCAAGACTTGCCTGAGATGCTGGATCTCGCTGGTACCCGTTCCCGGCTGGCATCAGAAAACACTGAACCAGATATCACCAGGAGAAAGTCAATTCAAGCTGATTTTCAAGCCTTTGCCGATGATCCACTAGCAAGCATGGTTTCAGGAGAACTAAGTCCTAGTGCCAGAAAGAGTGAAAGCCAGCTAGAAGAAATGGGCTATTGTGTGTTCAGTGAATATTCAGGTCCAATGCCATCACCTGCAGATCTGTTCGGCCCTACAAGCGTTTCTGCACAGGCTTTTACCCACTCTGACCTTGAGGAAAAAGTGGCTGCGCAAGCTAGGAAGTTAGCAGTCAGAGACACGTCTATGGAGGACATATGGATGGCTGATGTCACTAAAGAGAAAGACCACAAGCAAGTAGAAAGAAAACATTCTGCTGAAGAAAAGGGAAAAGAGGTTGCAGATGAACAATCCAAAAAATATTTAAGCGACACACCACCGGCTCAGCCAAGTGAGTCCTTTGTGACACCAACAGTCACTGTTACTTTAGAAGAAGGCGGGAGGGCGGGGAGTGAGACCGGACGACAAGCCAGTGGCGAGGGCTCAGCCTCAGAAACCGAGATTGCAGACTATGAGAGGCAGATACGTAAATTAGAAATGGAGGACAGGCCCCTTAGTATGGAGGAGGAAAGGGAACTGCAGGAGCTTCGAGAGAAAGTAAAGCTGGTCCACCAGGAAGCCTACGAGGAAGTGGATGCAGAAGATGTGTACCAGCTGACTGGCGTGGCAAAGGACCGGATTGCTAGGCCTGTAAAAACATCACCTGCTTCGTCTGTTGATAGCAACATTGATGATGACAAGCTGCTCTCTCCAGTGCTTTCACCATCAAAACTGAAACAGAGAGAAGTGTATGGGTCCCCTAAAAGAACAGCTTCACCTGTGTTAGGAATAAACAAGGAGAAAGAGGAGTCAGAAAAGAAAGGAGAAAAGGAAGCTGCGGAGAAGAAATGAAAGGAGAGAAAGGATGAAGCAGATAGGATCATCAGGGAAGAGGCTGAAAGGAAAGAGAGAGAAGAAAGGGAAAGGAAAGACAAAGCAGAGGCAGAGAGGATACTGAGGGAAGAAAAAGAAGGAAGGAGAAAAGAACAGAGAGAACAGGAGGTTAAAGAGATAGAAGAAAGAGAGAAGAGAGAAAGAGAAGAGAGGGAAAAGATGGAGGAAGAGAAACAAAGGAAAGAGAAAGGAGAGAGAGAAAGAAGAATGGAGAGGAATGAAGAGAAGAATAGCGAAGGAGAAGATTAGAGAAGAATTGAAAGAGATAGGAAGGAAGTAGAGAGAATGAGAGAAGATAGAGAAGGAATTGAAAGAGAAGATAGAGAAGGAGAAGATAGAGAAGGAATTGAAAGAGAAGATAGAGAAGGAAAAGATAGAGAAGGAATTGAAAGGGAAGATAGAGAAGGAGAAGATAGAGAAGGAACTTAAAGGGAAGGAAGAGAGAGAGAAAATGGTTGCAATGGACACGCCTGATGATATATCAAGACAACCAGAGACGCAAGCAGCCAAGCAGAATGTGGCAGTAGAAGCTGTGGATGCTAAAAAGGGGAAAAAGGAAGGGGAGGAAGACGAAATAGAGAAAGTAGCCGCAGGATCAGCGGTGGCAAAGGAGATCCCAGAGACTCGTGCTGCCATCGAATCAGTGGTCACAGTTGAAGATGATTTCATCACTGTGGTCCAGACCATCGACGAAGCAGATGAGCCGGGACACAGCGTTCGTTTCTCTGGTCCACCTGAAACAGGAGCCTCAGAGGAAGAGGAAGAGTCTGTGGAGTTGGCCCAAGAAGCTGACCTGGAGGCGGCAAGTCTAGAGGAAGTAGTAGATGTTCCTGAGACCCCTGCCTTCCCTCTGAAAGAGGCTCAAAGCATTGACACCGATGGACCCACAGAAAGTTATGATAGAGATGAAACCACAATGGACGACTCCATCTTGGACAGCTCCTGGATTGACACACAAGGTGAGATCTCTTTGATGGTTTGTCTGTTCAAAGTGTTCTTTTCCCCCCTTTGCTCTTCTGCTTCAAATAAAAACACATTAATACTGTCTTGTATTTCCCATGTCCTTCTTTGCTACACCACAGATGATGATGATAAGAGTATGGCGACAGAAAAGTTTGAGCCTTTGCCTAAGGCAAGCGCAGACAAAAAGCCTACTGTGGTCAAGGAAAAGCAGACACAACAGAAAAAGGCGGAGAAACAGCCGGTCAAACCAAAGGCCGGACGGGCTAAAGGCCGAATCTCTACACCAGAACGCAAGCTTGTCCGCAAAGAGCATATCTTCGTGCCGAGAGAAGACAACAAGAAGAAAAAAGGTTCTCACCATTTTTCATTCCTTTTGAATTCTTGAACTTTACAGATGAACAAGTAGTTATTTATAAATATTTATATAAAAATAATATTTGATACTTGCTGCTCGAAATCGGTAGGGATTGTTATACAATTAATATTTTGATTTGGTCTGCTTCTTTGTCCTGTCTGTGTAAAGCCAGACATCATGTGCCTTAATAGTGTTTTCTGCTGTAAATCCAAAAGAACACAGCATCTTTTAATGTATTGCTTCACTATACAAATGCACACAATTGCACTCCTATAATAACTCACTGACAGTGATTTGATGTCAACTGTTTTTAGTATAGTCCAACAAATGTGTTAGCTAACTTTTTTTTTATGGGGAAATCTTATTCTGCAGAATTACATATTTTATGTTTAAGCCTCTATCTCTGCTTATGATTCTCTCTCTGCTTTTGTCAATGCCTTGATTCCTCTGGTAGCTGTGATAAGGACCGAGTTTACAAAAAAAATGCAGACACACAGTCAATCGCCATCCAAGAGGAATGTGATGAAACCAGCCGTCCGCCAGACCCAGCATCACTCCTGTCCAAGAAGGAGACCCACAGGTGACACATTGCCTTGGTCTGTCAAAAGATAAAAAAGAAAGGTGGCACGATAGCCACCAGTTTCCATCCAGCTTCATTTGGATCATGGCATCCATTTTGTCTTGTTGGTTACTTGGTTTGCTTTGTCCTGTTTCTTGTTTTTCATAATAAAAAAGTACTGCCATACATGTTTTTATTTGCCTTCATTTTTGTTGTGCTCATCCTTGATGTTCTTTAAAGGGCATGATGTCCTGCAGTTAAAAGTTTGGGATTTGAGGATTCACTAAAATCTTTCCAAGTTCTCGTCTACATCACTACTGCAAGGTCAGCAAAAGCAAGATGTTCCGCTGATGTTAAGCTACTCAAATTCATTTTTCCTTACTGTTAACATTGCCTGCCCTCTGTTTATATGTTCTTGGTGAGCTTTTACATTATTATACTTATACTTTATATAAATATTTCAAATCATTTTAACTCTAAGGAATAAAATACCTGTCAGACGTCTGTTAACTTACTGGTCTCTTTAAGCTTTACATTACAGCTTTTTTCAACCTATCGTTGCCAGGCAACTAGTAATCCATGGTTTTGTTCTATGGACCTTATTTTGTAGACCGTCCCAGAGGCAGGGTGCTCTTCATTTTCCCCGACGGGCTGGATTCTGTGTCACTGGTGATGAGGGCTCAGTACACTGCTGCATTGCCCCAATTAGATTATTTTCCAGGGTTGCCTTGCATAATACAAAATCCCCCATTCTGTGTGATATCTTGCCAAATCTTTACAGAACAGAGCCCTTAGCAACCTGCTCCCACAGAACATTCGATTTTCATATAGCACACCATGTCAGGTTTGGGAATACAACATTGAGACCCAAATATGCTCTTATATCCAGAATCCTTTAAAGTAGGACATGAAAAAGGTTCTCACTTCTCTCTCTTCAGTATATGAAGGTCATAACATCTGTCTGTGTCCAATAATGTTTTGTTTCTGTCTCTTTCTTAGAGGCGCTACCAGACAGTCGTCAGCCTCTGAGTGTTGCCAGACAGTCTCGCAACAGAGCATCGGTGAGTAAACTACATTGACCCAACATTGGTGTGAAATCTGACTCCGAAACAACTCAGCGAAATACCACATCGAAGCTTTAAAGACAAACAGCCAGAATCACCAAGCAGGTTTGCAGAAAGGCAATTAATTAAACCTCAATCAGATAGAAACCAAACATTCTACTCAACAGCAACGAACAGTACTCTTCAATACATCTGTAGACATAAGAATGCTGTGCAACAAGAAGTGCTTTTGTATTACAGATTGCTAATAATGCATTATGAAGTCAACAGATTTCAATGTTTACCCCTTTCTTGTAATGTGAAACTAATACACAAGTTGCCTCGTGCATCGTTACAGCAGAAACAATTAACAACACATTAATTACGGAGAATAATTATCATCAGAACTGAGACTTATTAAGAACTTATTGCAAATGATCTCTTATGACTTCCAGGGCAACCTAATCATCTTTTTAGATAAACACCTGCCTGTTTGTACTGTTTAAGCAAGTGCTGTCTCCACTCTGTCTATCTTAACCCTAACCCCCGCATGAACAACACTGCATAGCATTTATGCACGAACACCACTGTTTTCTTTTGTGTTTTATGAACAAATATTTATTTCGTTTTTTGTAAATTCTCTGCTATTGTTGCCTTGCTTAATGGGTTTTGCACAAGTAGTCAAGGCAGATCCATTTAGAGCTTTTTCTTTTTTACTGAGTGGGTGTCGGATCACCCTGTGACATTTCTCCAGCGGCTATGGTCGTGACTCCATTCTACTCCTCCGCCATGGTAATGACAGTTATTGTGTCTAAAATAAAATAGTATCTGCATTTCTAAAATGTCATGTCATTACTGCATACTGTAAGTGTGTTCTGTCAGTCTGAGCCCACATGTTGTTTTACTTTGGATTTACATATTCTATTTACAGTCTCCCAATACATCTGTTACCATGGTTTGCAGTGTAACCTGAAATCTTGCATGAGTCTATACTTGTTTTTTTGTTTGGCATTTTGATTTTATACATTTAAAAAACAAATGTAACTGGCATGTTCACAATCAATGTGCGTGATGTGTTGTGATGAGCTATAATTCAATGTTAAACAGCCATGATCCAATGCTAATATCTCATTCCTCATACCACAATCGGATCTTGTGCACTGATAATGCATGTTTTAGCGCTGTTATTTTCGCCACTCTTTTGTCACCCTGTGTTGTATATTTTGATGCCATGCCACTCACCCACCAAGCCTCATCTTTGTACCATCTCAGGGCCATGCCCATCGTTCTCCACTAAAAAAGATCCCCGCCTCCATATCCAGAGTGACTGCCTCATTAGATAGACCTCGCCCAGCCTCAGCAGAGCCTCACTGCTTCACAGTAATACAGAGACTCATAGCAGAGGTAGGTGAATGGTAGAGCGGCACTAGCTGCAGGAGTCCCAGAAAAGACATATAAACAGATTCATAGTTGGATTAAAAAAAAAATGTAATCTGCGATATTGACCACCTAAACCTATTGTATCCCAATTGATTAAAAACATTTAAAAATAAATAACAGCCTCACTACTCTAAGGATCTACTTTTTGTCCCCCGTGTTTGTTTCCCACAGGATGGTGGATCATGGAGCCCTAAAAAGAGGTCCTCTGTGCCGCGGCATGCCTCCATTCTGAGTCACCGTGAACACGAGGAGAGCTCCACCTCCATCACCAGCTCCGGCTCCATGGCTCCTCGCAGACCCACATGTAGGCTGCAGATCCTCTAATCAGCTTACTAAACAATGTCTCGGTATTTAGGTGGTATTAGATTAAACAGCAACATGTATCAGTCTTCAGTAAAGCCACAACAAATGGATTCAACCAGTATAAAAGTAGTTTCTTTTAATCAATGCTGATTATTATTTTTGTAGTTTCTTGTATTTGACTAAAGAGAGCTCAAGTCTGCCAAAAACTTTCTGTACCTCCATATGTCTCTTTTATCTTTGGGTTTCTTTCTGTTAATCTATGCTGCTGTGCTCAAAACTAATTTAGGTGGCTTGTGTAGGATCTACTACTCTCCTAGAAATTAATAGGAAAATAAGTCTAAGTATTCAATAAGATGCTGTAGCAGTATTCTCCAGCTCTCTCAAGTGCCTTTTAATCATTCTCTATGTCACAGTGATTTTTTGTAATGTTCTATTTACTACTTACCGTATTACAGGTCAAGGTGAATGAATTGGAGCATGCAACACTCTCCTTTTCTTCTTTATTTCTCACCCTCAGCCTCCACTTAACTAAACTTTTCCTTTCCTGCTCCTGTAGCATTTCAAACCGAGATGAGGGCGGAGCACAGGACAGGACGAGCCCCTAGCATGACAGGTAGAAGGGATTCTTAAAACTTCTGACACTATGATGCTTTATTGTTATGTTTAACCTAAAATAACTAGTGACTTCAATTGTTTATGGGTAAAATATTTGAATGGGAGACCTGCATTTCGTATTTTCCGGTGTCATTCTGTATATCTGGTGGTCTGAAAAGTGACTTTCAAAGGCTTAAAGTCATAGCGTCTGATGAACTAATGATTGACTCTTCCCTTCTGTTTTTTTTCTCATTTGAAGTTAACATATGTTACCATGGTTTCTTCTGTTTAATATACTGCATATTTAGCTATTTCCTTCATCCTTATATTCCTCTCCATCAATTACAGATTCAGTGCGCTCCCGATCAGCTCGCAGTGGCCACTCTACCCCTCGCACCCCCGGCTCCACAGCCATCACCCCAGGAACCCCTCCCAGCTACTCATCGTCCTCAAGGACCCCGCGCTCGCTCAGCCTGATTTCCGGGGAGAGGAAGATTGCCGTGGTCCGCACCCCACCCAAGTCCCCTGCCACCACGCCCAAACAGCTCCGCATCATCAACCAGCCTGTGCCTGACTTCAAGAACATCAAGTCCAAGGTTGGCTCCATAGAGAACATCAAGTACCAGCCCAAAGGAGGACAGGTGACGCTCTTCTCCCTTACTTCCCACAAAACCTTTAGCTCCTATTTTAATGTATGTGAATTTTCTTTAATCTATGCAATGTTGCAATCCTATTTATACTGGTTATTGCTTCTAAAAAGTCTATTTTTGTTGGTACCCATAATAACACATTTGATTTACAACTATATATTCCCGCCGTTTTGTATTTACAAGTATACAAGTAAGATATCTGTATATAAAGAAACTTGGCGATTATCTTCTACAAGAACATAACCTTATTCTTCCTTTGAACCTTAAAGCAACAGTGAAGGATTAAGTGGACAATTAAAACAGAAAACACACTTGCCATGACACTTAGGATAAATGGAAAGAAAAAACAGTAGAATATATACCATTGATATGAAACCTAATTTATCTGTAAATGTTCTGATGCAAATTGAATTACTAGAAGTGTTTATGTCTAAAGTCTTCTGGCTTTTCTTCTGCCTTGAGAAATGTATTTCCCATGGCCCCCTCTCTCCTACCTCTCCACTCTCGTTGTCTTGTTGTATTCTCTTAGTAACCTCTTTCCACTGTTAGTCCTTCAATCCTGCTGACTAGCCAGTTTCCCACCAAGTTTCCAAGCCAGTAAAATGCTATAAACTCTTTGAAAAGCTCTACTTTGGATAACATCACATTGATATACAACAGGGGGTAGATAGAAGAGATTCAAGTGTGTAGCATTATTTTCTTTTAACCAAATCCCCCATGTCTCCATGCTGTCCATGTTGCTCTGTGTGTGATGGATCTACACGAGAGTAGGCAGTTGTCTTAGAAAGCAAATACAATTAAAAAATGTTGATGCTGTGAGGTCTTCCTTTCTGCCTCTCTGCTCTCCTGTGATCCAAATGTGCCCAACGCAGCTTTGACATCATTCAGATAACAAATCCAAATATATTCCAAATAAGGTCTTACCATCCACGGATCAGTAAGTTCCTGAGGATAACAAATGAGGTGGAGATTTTAGAAGGATTTCACCACAAAATGTAATATGTTGGCAAGTAAAGTCAAATGTGTACCTGTACAGGACAGGAGGCCCTACATTTAAATAAAAAAGAAAGTGACCTGGCTTTGACATCTCAGTGGCTATTGGAGCTGTGAGCAGTATTGATCCCTTTGATTTCCCCCCCTGAGCTCTGGGAACTGAGAACAGCACTTCAGCTAACAGAAATCTGCACTTCAAATCCTGTTTTCACCATGGCTGCACATAATCTGCATTCACAGGGTTCACCCCAAAGTTTGACAACTATCGTGTTTCAGTATGAAATACAGACTCAGCGCTGTAACACGAAGAACAGTGAAAAAACTGCAGTTTGTCAGTAGCCATCAGCTCTTACAAGCCTTCACTGATGACCTGATTAGGAGTCTAAGCGTTTGCCTGACATCTTTATGACTTGCCAGGTCTCTGCGCCGCTCTGTGCAGCCAGCCACAAAACAGGGAGGGATCATGCTCCAAACGCCTGCCTGTCATCTGCAGGAGAAATGGCCTGAGTAGAGCTTTTGTGCAAGCATGCGTTCTGGTTCATAATCAGTTACTATGCAATATGGCTTGCAGTATTGTTCCTAGCATGCAAGTATTTTTTGCAGTGGAGGTGTCTTGTGGTAAAATAAGGATGCAGGCTGTGAAGAGAGGGCGACGGCTCACCACATAAACTTTTATTCTCACATTTCTGATGTGATTATGTGGTGTAATGCAGCTAAAAGTTGTCATGTCGTGCAATGTTAAGTATGTGTAAGAGGTTGCCTTGCATATGTAGTCCAAGTTCAATTTGAGCTTTTGTCAATGGCTGTGGTTGGCTAATTCTCGAGGGGAGATTTTATTATGTGTGCTTGTCTTTACCTGCAATTACGTCCCTTCTTTTTTTAAATCTTTTTTTCTGCAACACAGGTTGTTCTGTAAGAATATGACCTCCTCATGAGATACATGCAGCACTTTATCCAATTAATTAAACATTTATTATGTCATAGATCAGGATTTCCACAAAAAATCCTATCTTTTAAGTGAATTATTTAGCTTCCAATGGATTTAAAAGGTAGTACTTCTTATACATTTGCACTTTTCTTCTGGAGCCAAGACAGGTACAGGTAGCAATTGGCTGGTAAAAGTAGCTCAGCATAAATCCATCAGGTATCCATCATTTAATCTCCAAATTAATTATAATTTGCTTCTCTAACTTCTGGATGTGTAAATTAGCAACAGTAATATTGCCTTATTAACAGTTGGCACTTCAATATGTTTCTTGCCAAACCATGAAATTGTAATGTTTGTATTTCAATGAGGGGTATTTTTCTGGCTGCACTTGATACCTAATGTTGTGTTTTGTCGAGAATACATTTGATGTCTTTACTCGCAGCACCACAGTGTATGTGTGTGTTCACATGTGTGTGTCACCCCTGGGTGGCAGTAGGTGTCTCCTGTCAGACACAAAATGATGTTGGCAGCTTTCGTCTAAGCACAGGGGTGACTGTCTGGTCAGAGCGGTCGTCCTGAGTGTCTCAGTCTAGACAAATCCAAACTCAGCTGTTTGTGACAAAAGCACCTCGGAGCGGAATGATAAGTTACTAACTTAACTTGAAAATATGAACAGAGGATATTTCTCAAGTTATATAATGACCATTTTAGCTCCCTAAGAGTTACCAAGCCATGCTACACTTCAGACAGATGATGCACTCAAGTTCATGAAGTCTTTTTATGTAATGAACCAAAAAATGCAGCTTTTCTTTTTTACTTATCTGCTGCAGCTAACAGATATGAGTAGTTCATGTAGAGTTCTCTGCACTGAAGCCCCTGGATGAATTGTGTAAGGATGGCGGGATGGGAGTGTACTTTGCTTTTCCTTGACAGCAGAACATTTGAAAGGTAATGGTGAAATGTAAGATCATCTTAGAGCTGGTGTTCCTGCACACACAGTTAGAAAGTCGGAATAAATAAGCTGATTATACTGCTGTATTACTCTCAATTTACCCGGCTGTCCTGAACCTACGACTGAAATATTACTGAAAAAATCCTCTGTCGTATATTGCTGTTGTTGTCCAGGACGCTTGCACAAGACATGCACCTGTGTTTTCGGCTCAGTTTATTAGCTTAGGCATGGTAGAATCCTTTCCAGCCATAGTGGACTCTTAAAACTGATTTATTCTGACAGCAGGATACTCCTCTCCTGACCTTCATTAGTGCCTTGTAGCTCTGTGGTCAAAGTAGTTCAGATCCCCCCCGACCCGTGGCAGGCCTCTGCCCAGCCACTGCCCAGTCACTGACCTCTCCGTTTACTGTCCTCATAGAAACACACGGAACAAAATATCCTCACAGAGGCCAAACACAGGGTCTCGTGGATCTGGAAGTCAGTGCTGCGCCTCGTCTCCCTCACTCTGTGCCTGTCAGCAGCGCACAGTGTGACCTGGACAAAAGACCTGCTGGTACACCTGAGCACTGTTAATTATGACACTGCATGTTTGATAGAGTATGCCACTTACATTTTAATTTAATTTAATTTTAAACCTTATCACTTAATACAGTTAATACATTTTGTAAAGAATTATTGGTTGATTAAGTGTGCAAATGTAATAAGGCTTAATAAAGCCAAAGTCATTTACAAATGAATAATTCTGTTAATTTTGCTTTTGCAAAATTAATTGATATTTGATTTTTAAATATTTAATGAAGTCCAACTCACACGGCAGCAGCTGTTTGGACAGTTGTTATATCATATAGTCATCTGTGGTGGATCGTGCCTCCACACATGACTCTATCATGTGTGTTAAACATCATTATTTCTAGGTTCCTACATCTTTGAATTCAAGAAATCGTCTATAAATAAAATGCTTATTACTCTTAATTGTTTCAGCAGGCAACACATTGTAAATTTGAATATGATAGTCAGCCCCATAAGAAGAGGTATGTTTAAAAGTATTTCATTTTGCAAAACCATACTTCTACATTTTAATTGATGAACAATTGTATTAATTAATTAATGCGCTTAAAGAATATGTGATATAATTAAGAAAGTCTGCATTTCCACACTAAAGACTTAACTTAACCATGATGGGAACACAATGATAATCAGTGTGAATGACACATTTTCTGTTTCATTTACTCATGGGGCACAAGTTTCTTGAGTTTGAAGAAATTCTACAAATATATTCTGCAAAGTGAAGCAGGAGACTGTTGTAAACAAACTAAGATTGAAAGGCTTTTTTTTTATCGTATCAAAATTCTAGTCAGCAACAGAGGGCATTCCTCTTTTTATATAAATGTTTTGTTTGTCCCTCTGAAGTATTTCTTCCAGTGGCGGTATGATAAGCATTCATTCCCCTTCACGATGTAAGAGGCCCATACTATCTCTGTATTTCTCCATAGAGTCATATTTTAAACAAGAAGCCGGACCTCACTCACATAGAGACACAATGCAGCTCCAAGGATAATCTGAAGCTCTCTCCCCGTGGAGGCAATGTATGTACCATTATGTCTATCTAGTGGTTTCCCCCCTCTTGATCCCTCAAAGTTTGAAGACTATGATTTCATTCTGAATTGTTCCCACAGTATATTTCTGTCCTACTAAGAGACATGCAGCACATTGCCTTGTTGGGCTTTGCAGATCTGGATACAGTGCTAGGTCCTCTACCATAGTACCTTAGTTTGTCTCTTCCCTGCACACACCTATATTTCCACTACTGTTTAATTCTTCTGATGTTATATGTAGTTCATTGTCTCACTGTTCACACTTAGCATGTTGTTAAACCAAAGTCACTTTTAAAGCTTAGTGTCACCATTTTCTTTATTAAGTGTTATACTCTCCTGAAATACACATGAGCAGCCAATCAAAACGTAGCAGCTGGTTTGACAGCATCTGATTTTAGCCATCTTCTTGCTGTGAGAGCGGTGACATAAAGCCCAAAATAGACCAACTGTCTGGCACCAAAGATGCCTTACTTTTAAAGAAAGTCAGCTGACCAAAACCATATGCTGGCAAATGTCTGTTGCCCTCAATGCCCTCAGCAAGTCACTTACCATCCAATAAATGTGGCTTTTAATTGGAACGGGTTCAATGGCATCTTTTTAGCTGTGGTTAGTTTCCTGTGTAATCCTTTAATACTATATCTCTTGTGTAATGTCTCTTGTTTGGTAGTTAGTTGTCACTGTCTTGGTGCTGCTATCTTGGATGTTCCCAGAGACTAGCAGCTGGTCTACCACTAAGTGAAATGCGTTGTGTGTTAGCTTTTGCTTTCCCTGGTAATGGCTTTGATTTTTACTTTGCTTCATGGCAAATGTTGGATTCTGGATGTCGTCCAAATTTGATTTTGGTTTGCCCACCATTCTTCACATATTTGACCTTGCTTCCAACTTCAAATGTGTCCCACAGTTTACAGCAACACAAATAGCTACATATTTGAGAGACACATCTGTACTCTAATTGAATACTTTTGTTTTTTAATCGTAAAGTGTTATACTATAATTTCAAAGCATTTTAAAGTGTTCCTTTGGTCCACTCAAGTGTATCTCCTCATGGTCTCTCTCTCCTCCTGTAGAGCTCTTTAGTGCTCTGTGCACAACATGTATCGAATACGTATGTGGTGTGTAAGTCTAGTTCCCACTGCTTTAATTGTGCTGCGGGGTAAATGTATTCATCGTTCGTGTTATGTACTGTACCAACTCTGCTGTGTCCGCATCTCACTCCTGCTTTCTCTCGATGCAGTAAGAGGTATTACCAATGCAGCACTCCCATATTTTATCATAATCGCCGCCTCAATTAATCATTTAGACATTTACTGGTTAATATGGAATCTACTTGAGTCTGAACAGAGGATGTACACAAAATATCAACCTCACTCAAGCTCTGTAATAAAGTTGTCTTAGTCACAATAGCCCTTATATGCCATGATATGGAATCCAGTGTTTTGAAGGAGGTAAGATTGTTTTCTGGAGGTGGGCCGTGATTAAAGAGGATCCTCCTTAGGAGTAATAGGTCAAATCCAGAAACGAATAATACAAAAACCAGGCTGACATGAAGCTCATCCTGGGTTGTGAGATGACTCTAATTTGCCTCTTAGCTTAGAGCCATGGTATCTATCGAAGCTGTTTGTCCAGAGCAAAAGGGGAACCTCCAGGTTGAATATCAATGCCTCAGTTACAGTTAGACAAACTCGGATGTCTAGAACAGAATATTTAAACAAGAGACATGAATAAAATGAAGTGCCAGAAAGCCCAAGCCTTCTCCCACCTCACTCCTCGCCTCCGCCCGCAGGTTCTCATCCCCAATGTTAAACTGGACTATAGCCATGTTCAGTCTAGGTGTGGGTCCTTGGACAGGCGGGGCTACTCTGCAAGAGGTGGAAACGTGAGTCCTGTGCCGCAAGTCCATTGTCTCAGTGTTCATGTCAGATTCCTCTGTTGTGTTGTGTTTGTCAGTGTTTCATTATGTTGTCAACGGAAACATGTGCCACCTTTTTATATGGATGTCTAATCAGCGTTGAAGGTCAATTTAATCAATTGAAGCAGTCAATTCCTCAGTGTGTGCTATATTGACAGAGGCCCAGGGTACCAGCAGGAAGAGAAACTAGAAATCCCAGCTGAAGGAGGACACAAGTTATTTCTTACCTGCGTCTTCATAACTGTCACTTTAAATGACAGCGCTACATGCAGGGAGGAACAACAGAATGACAGCTGAAAACTCAGCTTTCTCTCTCAATATAGCAAACACTGAGGATATTAAAGTTTTAATCAACCTTTATCGTCAACAGTGATTGGAAATAAATATCAAAGGTGGAATTTCCCTTTAAGTCCCTCACTCATTGGACCAGCAGCTGTTTACCTGACACATCATTCTCCAGAAGTGATTTGTGTCCAGTGAACAATTGGAATTTTCACAGCTGGATGTCTCCTCCCCCAGCACTTGATTACATTCAGGACAATAACATAATTTCCCTTCTGAAATAACACTAACAAGAATGGGTGGAGGCACCCCTTCAAGGCTTAAACCCCCCCCCCCCCCACAAACACCTTTTATTCATAGTATACTAACACTAGTTTAACTAATTATAAATGCCATCACTGTAGTTGATGGATTTCATTAAGATACCATCGCTGAAGAGATGAGCCAACCTGCAGTTGACACAAACCTCACGTCATCTCTCATGCTGCATTTCTGTGTTAAGCCTGTGTAAGGGACTCGTGGTAGATGAACAGCCTGTGGTGCATTGTGGACTTTGTGCTCACGTTGTTGTGCTTTCCTATTGTGATCAACAATCTGCCCTGTTCAGCATCAGTACAAGTGAGACACTTTTACTGTCATTTCTTTCTTCTCAGGCTCTGCGAGCAAGGATACTAAAATCATTGGTTACAAAAGACATCAACTATATTGTTGACTTGAAAGTGATAGCTGACCACAGGCAGGTTGCGGTTAATAACCTCTGGACGTGGTGTATCTCTTCCTGTTCTTTCTGCTGTTTCTAAAGTGTTTTATCTCTGCTCCTTTAGCCGGTTCACTCCTTAGATATCCCTCTGTAGTTTTCTCTTCAGGTCCCAAGGATGTGTCCCATAGATACATATCCTTACCCCCCCCCCCTGCCTGTGGCCATTTTGAACTGTTCTGTACTGTCTTACTCACTGTGGTCCATTATTGACAGGTTTTCTGATGAACAAATGTATCTCAAGAAGACAGTTACAGCACATTGTATTCTATCTTGGTTTGGTTGGTTTAACAAACATCTTTGTTCTGCACGGCAGAACACAGTACTTTGATTTAACCGTGGTCTTATGTTCTTGTGCTTCCATGATTATGTTTTCTGATAATTACATGAAATTAGATCGCTGTGTTGTAATGTGAATCCGATGTGAAATATTACAGAAAAGGGAAGATACTATTTCGATCTTCTATGAGAGAACCTTTTAATCTCAGTGGGAGTTTATGACCTCGTTGTGCACTGTAAGCTCTGACCTTCTCCTGACTTTGCTTCTTCAAGGTGATGATACAGAACAAGAAGATAGATCTGAGCCACGTGACCTCCAAGTGTGGCTCACTAGACAACATCCATCATCGGCCAGGTAACCCTTGAAAAACGGATTTTTAATGAATGAAAAAGTGGTAAATGGAGTCAGTTAATGTCTACAGAAACTATTTAAGTCCTTAATGTTGGAAGGAATAACATTACTTTGGAATGAACACTGCAGACCTATATTTAATACAATCCTGAAAAGATTTAGGAGCACTATCAGCATGGATTCCGAATGACAGTGTGTGCCCACAGCTCCATCTGCTGGTCTCTTTGGGTCTTTCCATTTTATATCCTTTATGCACTGCTTGCTCTTTCATGACATCATTAGGCATGTACTTATCAAATGGCGTGTGTTTCAACATACCAACGTTTTGTACAGGCAAACTCTCCAACCACCTCCTAGACTTTTCTTTCACGTTGAACTTTGGAACCTTAGTCAATATCTCATGCCAATACTCTGTAAGGATTTGACCCTTCTTTTCTTCTCCCAAGGGGGCGGTCATGTGCGTATAGAGACAGTGAAGTTGGACTTCAAAGACAAAGCCCAATCCAAGGTGGGTTCCCTGGATATTACTCAACACACTCCTGGTGGAACCCATCTCCCGGTGAGTGTCAGCTTCATAATCCAATCAATGATTTAAAGGAAATTAATTATTTGAGAGATTGTGACATCTAGATATAGCCTGCCATGTAACTGATGTGTGATGCATAGGCATTACAGTTGCCTTAAGTAGATTAAGTATGCATTTCATATATATATTTAAAGAATGTGTTTCAAAGTCAATTTTTTTGAAAAATGTTTTCCTCATCTGCATGTAAAAGTAGCCGCAGACGTGTAGTATACAACGCCATCAATACATAATGTTGCGGTCAGTTAAGCTCTGAAGGCAACACTGTACACAAGCTAAACCCTCTGAGTAAAGTCTGGAACAGAAGGGCGTAGTTCTCTAAAGTTAGCCTTTGGAGTAGTGCTACTTATTGAACCTGACTCACAGAGACTCACACAAATAATAATAATTCTACACAAATGATATATTTCTTCCTTCCCATCCACATCTCATATCACACCACCCGCCTCTGTTAGATTGAGAGTCAGAAGCTGATGTTTCGCGACCAAGCCAAGGCCAGGGTGGACCACGGTGCTGACATCGTGGTCCGGTCGTCGGACCTGTCGGCCGTGGTGTCCCCTCAGCGCCCCCGGGACAGCCAGCTCTCGTCCTCTGGCAGCCTCAACGTGCTGGAGTCTCCGCAGTTAGCCACGCTGGCTGAGGACGTCACTGCGGCTCTGGCCAAGCAGGGTCTGTGAACACTGGGTCTCTGGATCCCTGCTCTGCAACCCGGGCATCTCCATCACGATCCCTAGAAACTTTTCTGCCCACTCCTGCCACCCTGAAGCCAACTTCAGCTAAACGACAGCCTCTAAACATCTCAACTTCAACATCCATCACTCAACTTTAAGTAGAGACTCGAATTAGGAGCTACTGTACTTTGGTCTTCTTTATTTCACAAATATTTGCTGTTTCTGATTCATTAGGTTGGCCTCTCTCTTTTTGAATGATGTTGCATAGAATAGTTCAGTCTGAGCACTGGTCCTACATTAAGTGGGGGGACCAGGTCTTTTGCTTTACTGGTCCTGGATCAGTGTTTTTAAGAAGCTACAGCCTTTTTTTCTACATTAAATAAGAAGTAATGTGGCCAGCACACCATGCAGCACGCGTCGTTCTCGCTCAGTTCACGTGCATGGACGCCAAACCCCCTAACAAACCAAGCATCCTTACTGCAAGTCATTCTTGTCCACCAATATATATAATATTTAACAAATATATATAGAAAAATGTATAAAAATCAAAGGTCTTTGCCATCCACCTGTCCTAAAACATTTTAAAAGCAAGTGACAATATGGCTATAAAATAAACCTGTAAAATCGCATTACTGCAAGAACTAGGTCATGTTATGACAAGCATGTATTGATTCTAATATGAAAAGAGGCTATTTTGTAACCAAAAAAATGATTTTAGTAAGTTATTTGCTCAATTATTGGATAAAGATTAAACAAGTTCATGTTTTGTAGTTATTAGTTGTTTACGGTGTAATGCTTGGTGACGATGTTGGACAGCTGGTTTGGTGTTACTGAGGAATGCATCTCAGTCCTGTTGAACAGCATCACACACTTGTACCTGCTCAGTAGTTAAATATAGGTGCCTGTTTATACATCAGAATATTGGTAAACTCTGGAGCTTAATCCGCTTTCGACAGCTAAAATGATTAGCTGCAGATGTTGAGCTTGCGTGAATGAACAGTACAGACATTTCTACGCAGGCTGAGGTTGCACCATGAGGAGGATGACGCTACAAATGCGACCTGAGACTGAGCAGAAGTTGAAGCCACTCTGAAATCTGTCTGTGTGTGCGCGTTTGGTGCAGATCCCATGCCGTTTTACGACGTACGCTAATGTATCTGGATGTTTTGTTGCAATACTGTATGTGAGAGATGAAAGTGGAAGAAAAAATATTTTGAAAATGTAAAAGACAATTCATGAAGAAAGATAAAGCGACCGGGGGAACTCGTATCGTGTTACATCTGTTAGGATAAAAGTGTTTGGGTGATCTAGTTTCTTTTTTCAGACACCATTTGTGGTATATCCTGCCTCCTGCCTAATATCTGCCCTCACCTGCGACTGTTTGTTTGCTTCTGTGTTTTTTCTGCATACCCCATCTCTGTGTGCCCCCTCCCCACCTCCTGCTCCACCCTACAGCAACTGTAAATGTATTTAAAAGGTCAAGTAGATGTACGCAGTTTTTCTCTTGTTGATATGACACCAATTACAATAATTAATGACAATAAAAAGGAGAAAAAGTGATACAGGAGTACTGTTTTCTTTTTAATGTTTCAGTGAAGTTTGGAATTACTCTTATTTCCTTTTCTGTGGAAGATTAGAAGATCGATACCTCTCTTGGCAGCAAGACTGCTCCGTCCTTGCTCCGTCAAAAGGTGATACAAAATCTGCCTAGCAACACCCTTAAGGCTTACTCAACACTCATTCATTCGTTAACCTTCAACAACTAAAAGTGAAATGAATGTTCTGTGCTAATCCACTATTAGCTGTAGCTTCATTTCTGACAGACAGACCTAAGAGTTGTATCGATCTTTTTATCTAACTCTAGTCAAACTATTCTTTACACATGCATCTGCATCTAGTTACAGTAATAGAGTCAGACATTTGGAAATGCAATGGGTGATTGTGAAAAGTTTATTGTGGCAGAGGATACAATAAGTTAAGACCTATGGGGAAGGGTTGGGTGTGGAGTGGATTCATTTTGATGGCCACTCCTGAGCCAAAGCAGTCCCTACACTGGCAGATAGAGAGCCAGTAGACTGTGGAAAGAGGGGGGGGGGGGGGGGGGGGGGTCATCATTATCCCACCTTCCCCTCCATCACTGCTCCACTTTGAAACAGTTGATGATATAAATCCCCAATGAGACAGTGGGACTTGTGAATATGAGGAAAGAAACATCTTGCGGGGGAATAAGGAAGACTTCCCGAGCAGTGGGAGGAGGAGGAGGAGGAGGAGGAGGAGGAGGAGGAGGAGAGGAAAAAAGCACCACTTTGGACAAAAATGTGTAGAACAAAACGAAAGGCTTCAGGAAATGACATCTCATAGTCCTTTGTTCCCCCTGCTTCCTCAGGTGGTACAAGAAACAGCGAGAAGATGTCGCGACACCATGGGGTCTGCACAAATAGGATGCTCACCAGCGCAGAGCAGGTCCTTACACAGACATGATGTGCTTGACAAAGGCTGCAGATGGAGACCAGGGCAGCACACACAGGACACAGGGGAGGGGAAATAAGTGAGTGAGGAGAAAAATCAGTACACTATCAAATAAAATCATTTCAAGGACGTTAAAAACCAAGAATGACATAACTGTTGAGATATTGATAAGAGTACATTAACATGTGTTCCAATACTTGGAATTCACTTCATTTCTGCTGAAAGTGCAAATTGACACCAACATTTTTAACAACAGATTTCTTTTGAATTATGGACAAGATCAAAGCAGCAAAAGTCAAGATATACTGACTTTAAGTACCTAGTGTTGGTCAAGTTGGGATCCTATATGTCCCATAAGATAGCTCAACAGCATATTTCCCCATGAGGACATCATCAGGGAGATTTTAATAAAATACTTGTCAGAGCTTAAGCAGACTGACATTCTTAAAATTAACTGAACTTCAAGAATGAAAATGGTGCCGGGGATTTTTACAATATAAATACAGTTGTTTGAGTTATGATATACACAGTATAAATATAAAAGGTTGTTGTATTCATATATTATAGGTCATAACGTTGGTATTTGCAGCTCACCCTCGTAGTTGACACAGCCGTTCTCGTCCTCCTGTCCTGTCATGAGAGCATCAATCTCGATCTCGGTCATCTTCTCTCCTGTAGGGGGAGGCAGAGGACAACCAGGATTAATAACACACACACAAACTCACACGCACACATAGTGACACACACATTCATGGAGAGACACAGCGGTGCTCATGGCCTTGACTCACCCAGTGTTGACAGAACAATACGCAGCTCAGCACCCATCACTGTGCCGTTGCCCTCCTTGTCAAACACGCGCAGACCCTCAACGTAGTCCTCATATACGGCCTTGTTTGGGTTGTTGACGACGGTCTGCATCATGGGCAGGAAGCCCTCGAACTCTACTCTCTTGGCGGTCATGTCTGCATGGAAAGAGACAGAGATTAATCATTTTATCCAGAGATGAACAACCCAGGCAGGTTTGAGACACAACCTGAACATTTTCACCTCCACCTTTCTGCTACAGGTGCTACCTCTCCTCAGGTGCTGTTAGGGCTGTGCGATTATGGCAAAAATCATAATCACGATTATTTTGGTCAATAATTGATATCACGATTATTAAATACGATTATTCATTGACTTTGAAAACATCCATATATTGAACTTTAAAACAAATACAAATAATAATTTGAACAGTATCTTATAACTGTTGATTACCCTGAACGTATAATTCAACTGAAAAACTTTATATAAATAATATCAAAATAATAAATACCAATAAACAAGATCAACAAATATTTTGGAGCGCACTTCCAAAAGCTACTAATCATATATAAATATGATAAATACAAATAAATTAGATCAAAATAAATTAGATCAAATATGTTGCAGTGCAGTCACAACCTAGCAAAGCAAAATAATTGTTTTATTCGATTATGTTGTTTTCGTAATTGTGGCAGGCCAAAATCGTAATTGCGATTAAAATACGATTAATTGCACAGCCCTAGGTGCTGTGAATGTTTTCTTTCTTTATTTGTCCTTTATAATCCCATTTGGTATTTCTGAGCGTGCCACAGTAAGGAGTGAGCGTCATTCTGCTATTTTGGTTTAAAGGTTACAGAGATTTACACCTGCAGCAGTGCCTGTCTGCACAGACCAGATCAGAGACACACTTCAAAGGTACACTTCTCTTTTTATTATGACATACAGTGTATGAACCAACAGTGCATTCAGGAAGCTGATTACATAAAATACAGCTGCAGTGCAAGAACGATTTTTTGCTATTCTTTACACGTGTCCTCTGTAGACAATAGGCACCCCCCCCCCCCCCTATTGTCTACAGTCTGCTGTTTATACAAATTTCAGACACTTCCGTAATCATATATAAACTATAAAGATTTATATCATGTGAAATATTACTTTGCTTTTTTTATTAACTTATTTTATATATTACTCCTATTGCTAATCCATTGTGAAATGGTATTGGTGTTACTTCATATACACTTTATATTTGTTACTCTTGTGCTTTTTTTAACAATAACTTCCTTTGTGATGACTAAAGTCATTTTTTATTTAATCCTATTTTAGAGCTGATTTAAAAAAATAAAATAAAATAAAAAACTGCTGATTGGACTTAACATTACCAATTCCATCCACAGATAATTGATTTCACCTAATACCAATGTTAATGTTTATATCTAAAGAAATTACCCTTGCAGCACTTCGACTTCCAGAGATGAATGAAAACTGAGCCATTACTGGTCATTGCAAACTATTTAAACATACTGTTCAGCTAATGATTGGTTAAACTTTGTGTTTTACAAAGTGTGGCCATTAATGACTAGTACACTGATATCCATTCAAAAACAATAATAAAAGCAGTTGTTGTACTGTATGTCAGAATAAGAATGAATATAATAGTTTACAGAGTTATACTATCATTTTATTATTTTGCTTGAAATGATCAAAATGAACATGACAAATGGGACAAAAAACATTTCAACAAAGAATATTCAAAATCAGAAGACTTGAAAACCCTGGCATAATCTCAAAAATCTTAAACTTATTCGAAAAATGAAACTGAATGTATATCTACCTTCAGGAGAGGGGTTTCCCAGCATCTTGGCGACCTCCTTGTTGGTTGGGTTCTGTCCCAGGGCGCGCATGATGTCAGCGATCTGGATGTAGGCAACCTTGCTGTCACCAACCCTGTCGAACAGACCAAAGGACTCCCTGTAGTCTGCAGAGAGGAGAGGACATCATCACCTTTGATATTCACTAACTGATTTGTGTGTAAGGTGTTCAGCAGTGAGTGTGTACATAACCAAACTACACCTTGTGATTCGTTCTCACCCTCGCATTTCAATATTATGAACTTTGTGTCTGTGTCCATTACCCGGGAAAAATCACAAGCGCTGATTGGTCAGTGGTTGGTCAATTAGAGAGGGTAGGTAGAGCTTAGGCAAAAGACTTGCTCTTAAACTCACTTGTTTATGAAGGGGGTGTACATTTTTTATTTGTATGGTCTTAGGTGTGAATAAAAGGTGCCTGCAACCGAAGAAACTAAGAAAAACGTCAAAAACTAAATTTGATACTAAAAACAAGCGTAAATCCCCAAAAACCTGCCAACTGACTGAAGTCAAACAGGTAAAACTGTAACGGTGCGTCCACACGGTTCCATCTCGTTGAATCTTGCCAGTGGGCGTGTATGGCGCGTGACCAACAACCAATCACATTAATCTCCCGCCCCGCACACACAAGCACACGTTTTGATTGGCTAGAGCTTGTACTGGCATATGATTTATTTGGCTGGCGCTTCCGTCGACGCTTGAAAAGTTGAACTTTTCTCAACTTTCGAAGCGAGCAACGGAGGCAAAGTGATGCGACGGAACCACAATGCAGTTCGGCAAAGCTTGACGTCACCCCATTCAAAGTGAATGGGAAGCGTCTCCGCTGAAGCACGCAACGGAACCGTGTGGACGTTACGTAAGGATCCAAACGCACACAGTAACTACTTATCGCAATAGGTGTCGCCAAAAAGAACATAACCAATATCTTTGAGGTTATACATTTAAATTAGCAGCATTTCACATTAAATTGCAGAAGCCTGGCAGTCACTAATCAATATTTTTGTCATTTATGTCTTTTTTTCGCAAATAATGTCATGTAAGGTATTTTAATCTATTCAGCTCCAGCTACAGTACACCTGTATTTTAGTTACCCTTGTTAAATATACATATCAATAGATCTGCATTTTCTGTAGTATGTGTTTGTTCTACAGTTGGAGACAGTGGTTTGCACTTCACATAACTGTGGGTGTTGCATGCTAGCAGGTGTAGGCAACTCCTCTGCGTACAGGACTGTCCATGGATACATAAAACAAGGGCAAGACACCTCTTTAGGTGCTGGTATTATGGACTGACTCCTGCCTAGGTCTGTCACCACCCATACTATTTCCATTGCAGCTGCCTCCCTCTCTCTCTGTCTCTCTCCCTTGGTGCTGTAGGCCCTTTTAAAAGACCACCTTGGAATTGATAAACATAGATGAGAATATGAGCCCCCTCCTTTTAAAGGCAAGGCCCTCTGTGGGGGAGCTGAGTCAAAGTAGGGAATGCTGACTGCGGTGGAACTGGCAGCCGCTCAGACGCACGTCTGGTCAGGTGGTGTCTTGACGTCAAGGGTCAGACGGGCCTAATAGCACAGGATTTGTACCTTAAAAATAATTTTACATAATTTCACACTTTTTTGTTATATTTATATAACGCTTTTTGTGGTACAACCTACCATTCTACCAACCACTTATTTAACTCACTAATTATATTTAAGATCTATGGTTTGAGATGTCACCAACAATCGGCCAGTAGGCATTATGCACTTTACATAATGACACAGGTATTGGTTAAATGGATTTGTGGTTATTACACAGAGCTCTCAACAGTTATGGTTATTATGTGATAAAGTAAAAATGCGAACCAATCCCTAACCCATAAACAAGCTAATCTACTGCTCTTGTAGAGGGTGACAATTCGCACAATCAATGGGTGTTTTGAGGATACAACATACACTAATTTTGTTTGCACTATTACATTCAAAATGTTTAATTGACAACCGCTGACTATCACTTGGTGTGCGGGTTATTATAAATGTATAGATAGGGCAGGGCATTCAGACAAAAACATGTTTTGTTTAAAAGACCACCATGTTAGGGATCCATTATTTGTGACATATCATTTTGATTATTAGTTTTAGCCAAGGAATGTGACAGAAAAAAGACTGATGCGACCATCTGTCATTAACACTTTAAGACTCAGTAAAAAGTCGGTTTTACGTTGGCATTAAACTAATGTTCATCTATAACGGAGGGACAATTGTTTTACGTTCAGCCTTATTGGCTATTGGGGATTGTCTCCCCTCTTTGGGACTAATAAAGGTATTCTGATTCTGATTGAAAGGACGATGAGTTTTAGGGTTAGCAAAGGTAAATTGAGATGTACTTACCATCAATCACGTCTGCGGCAAATTCAATCTAGATGCCAACACAAAACAACCCCATTAGTATGACACTTAAAAATGCGAGCGTAGTGACATGCCATTTAATCAACAACACAACTACTTGTATTCAAAAGGCCAACTCAACCAGGATTCTGCTTTAATCTCTAGACTAATTAATCAGGTCTACACACTGGGATTACATTTGTCTCTTTGCCAAAATTAGCTTCACAGAGTGGCACCCGATCTGTGGAGGTCCATCTTTAGCTACATTAACATGTCCACATTTGGTGTCTCTCTGCATGGCCATCACACATAAGTCACTATTCTTTTAGTCCAATCCAGGGAGCTGGGGGCGGAGTCTAAACCATGGTGAGCTATCCATGGTTCCAGTCATCTGTTCATCTGGTCCCTCAAACATGATGCTACTCTCAGTCTCTCAGTGCGTCCATTCATAATTTTCTACGTGGCCAGTAATGTCAAGATAACAATGAATGGGTATTAAACCAAAACCCACATTTCATAAAAAGTTTTGATCACAACTGTACAATCTATGCTTTGAGGAACAGTTATTTTGCATTTACATTAACATACATTGACCCCTTTATTATCAAAGTTGCCTTTATCATATTCTCACATTGGCCCTTCTGTATGTGTAACATCATAATAAAAACATATCTGAGGCCCCTTTCAACAATCCCCCTGGGATCCTGAAGTCTGTCTACTTTAGTCATGAGTTTGAATGGATAAGTCCAGTCCAAACTTTTCCTGAGCATCACCCTATCTCCATCCCTCCCTACAGCAGTACTCATGCGTTCACGGTGATTTGTACCTTGACGGCGGACAGGTCGACAGCGGCAGGTGCTGCTGGTGCGGGTGCCGGCTCTGGTGCCGGTGCCGGTGCAGCTGCAGCTTTTGCAGGTTCGGCCTTCTTGACGGCGGCGGCGGGTGCCTTAACGTCCTTCTTGGGTGCCATTTCAGCTGATATTAGAAGTACACTGTTCCTGAAGTACAGACAATTCCTGCTTGGAATGACAACACAAGGAGTGTAGCAAAGATTGGAGGTGACTCGGAGCAAGAAATCACCGCTGGGGCGTATATATATGGGGCTATGTTTCCCTCTTGACCCCCTTTAACGCTTGGATTGGACGGTAGAAGGAAGGGGTGTGTCTGTGGATGGGGTTCTCTCTAAAGATGGAGTAAATGGCAAGAGGCCAGAACGTCTTTATTTATGCCACATAACTGTAATCTGTAAAAACACTGGGGGAGTGCGTGGAAGTTTACCTGGGGACACGCGTTTTACTCGGTTACACTTTTGCGCACAGCTTTACGCAGCATTACGCATGATCTGGACCCATCCGGAAAGCATTACCGGCTATTTGAAGATGGTTTAGCACTTAAATGTGTTGATGTTTAAAGACAAATAAGGTTGGACCCAGCTTGCCCTTTAGCCTATAATAGTTCGTGATGAACAACTCTGTAATTGGCACGCCTAACCTCCTGGAAAAAACTAAACCGAACTATTGTGGTTTTGCTTAATATCTTTTTGACTCCGGTAATCACAAGTTTCTGCCAGGTAGAAATAATTTGAATCAGAAATAAGATATGGGAAATAAGGCAGGAGGGTGCAAAACAGAAAATAAGTTGTAATTTGCTATATAGATTCAGTGTAGATTCAATTAAATTCAAAACCTTTATTTATCCAGGTGAAATCCCATTGAGATCATTGATCTCTTTTTCAAGGGAGACCTGCAAGAGTGTTGCAAAGATTGGAGGTGACTCGGAGCAAGAAATCACCGCTGGGGCGTATATATATGGGGCTATGTTTCTGGCAGGATTTGTAGTGTAGGGTTTCTTCAACTAATGTGATGATTTATGGTCCTATTCTCTGACATTCACACAAACGGTTTAAAAGTTTGCCAAAAGGACTTTAAGCAAACTTTAAGTTAGGTTTTAATTGTGTGGTTTATAAGTAAAACATTTGTTATTAATTATTAATGTTATTATTATGGCACTTCATTATTGTATCTTTTTCATTGTAATTCATCCTTATTTATGTTCATATCTTGGGCACATTGTTAGTCATGAATAATCTTTGCCTTTTTTTTGTAAACATGTTAAGTCTATGTGTAACTTTACTTAATGTATCTTTATATCTGCAGCAGTCATGTCTCAAATTTGGCAGCTTGAATCATAAGCAATTTCAAAATGCTGTAGGTAAAATCTCTGAAATATATTATATTTGTGTTTATTGCCCTGTCCCGATTAGACTTCTTTTTTTTTTCAGTAATAGTTTTTTTTTTTTTCAAAACTATTACTGATGTGGTTGTAACTCATGACTGTCACTCTGCTTGACTCATCAATGACTATCTTTCCAAAGATATAAGATATATTAGCCAGGCTGAATTGGGGGTTGGTATACGCTGATGCATAGCATATCTAGAATATCTGCAATTTGATGTAATGGTGTAGCTATTGGGAAAAAAGGAGTAATGAAAGAAACACATTTAGAATATATATGTATTAGTGTGGAAAAGGCAGGGGGAAATGAGCACCATGAGAGTTTGTTGAAAGAGAAACCTGCAAAGAAGCAACAGATCAAACTAGAGTCGATTTGTGTTTGAGAAACTGTAAAGGAGCAGGCTTTGGGTGGACAGGTGTTGGAAGTGGTGCCTCTCAGATCTAATAATAAGCCATTGTTTATTTCAGTCCCTCACAAAGTTTGTTGGGTTGAGCAGCACCTGTGTTTAATTTGTTGGTTTGTCCCACTCTTAAGACGGATGTGACGTAAAAGCACAGGGGGATGAAGACCTGCAGGGGCTTTCAGCTGCTGATGCCAGTAAACCAGACAAGGCTAAGCGTGCAAATTCAGTCTCCTTAATTATTGTCTATATCCGTCTCCCAGTGCCAGTAGTGGAGCGCTGCCACAGTGACAGGGCCTGGTGACGAAGGAACTGCATGAATTCCTCCACCCTGCAGCAACCCCACCCTCCAATCAGCCAGCCCCCCCATTTAGCTGACCCCATCTCCGTGAGGGCAAGCCAGAGAAAGCCTCGGTCGCTCAGCTGTCATCAGGGCTCACCCGGCACCCCACTGCACCTTTCGAAAGTCTCACTTCCCTTCACAGAAACTGCCCCGGTCCCTGCACCTGTGCTGGAGTCCAATCTGAGCTCCACTAAAAAGTTATTATGTATTCAGCATTAAGGGAAGAGCTGGCCTTTATTAAGATGTGATAGCGTGTCGGCTTGTGAAAAACAAAAGAGCAAGACATCAAGTTTGTTTGACACTTACGTTTATTGTGTGAATGATACACATTCAGTTTTTTCACATTTTGCATCATTTTAGGTAGTGGGTTTTTTGTGAGTTAGTTTTAGGAGTGTTTCTGTTATTGTTACTCTAACTCCAGTGCCAATTAATAGTTCCTTAGACACAAGCAGAAAGCGTAAAAACAGTCACTCTCCTCTGTGTGGATATTGCTCCTGCTATCTGAACCAACTAAAAATACCAAATACATTGGAGTGTACTGTTACTCATTCTCAGTATCACATTAGTGAAGATAAACATCTCCTTCTGAATAAACATGTAACCCTTTACTTATTTTTTCCTCAGTGTCCAGCTCCCCTGGGAAAGCCATACTGGAGATGTGAGCTCAGAGCCCCTAAAAGTGGGGAAGGGGCTTTAAGGCTAGTAAGTAAAGGCCACAAAAGGGACACATGCCACGTGAAGATCCATTTTAACAAACACCGTTGCTTAACACCACTCTGTATAAGGAAAGAGAAGGTGAAATTAAGCTTAAGGGTGCAGGGGTCATCGTTATTCATGAACATTTGTTTTACTATTGATTTTTCTAAATATTTCACTTGTGAAATGCCAAAATAATGTGTAAATATCAGTTGCATTAAAGGTGGGGCAACTTTATTTACGATGGACATTCCCTACAGAGGTTTGTTCAGAGTAGTAAATTCCACCTTATGTAACGTTTACTATGTCAGTTATTGACGGTCTGGCAATATGAGAAAGGAAAGAGCCTTAGATCTGGCTCCTTTGGAATAGTCATAACTTGCATCTCTATTTTCTATCTTTGGTTTTAATTCATAAATAAAGCTCCAGATTTAACTACACTCATTGTCTTTGCAAGAAAAGTTGAGTGAATGGTACTCAAATTGAAGACATAAAAGAAACAGAAAAAAATCTTCAAGTCTATCCTGTATCGCTGTATTTTTTGCACAGCAGTGAACTCAACCCTAATGTCAGCATGCTAAGTGTACGGTGTCAAGTTATCGTTTTCTAATTATCACTTAACAGCCTACAGCTGAGTCAGATAAGACTGTTTTATACTGTATGTTATGCAAATATATGTTTCAATATTAAAATATCTGGCCTGATAATGGTCTGCACAGTCAGAAGATCACCAAAGTGATAATAATCACTCCTCAGGGAAACATGAATATCTGAGTGGTTATGTTTGCTGCTAACAAAACATGGAAATCATAATTCTTCTGAAAACAAAAAATGTGAATCTAATGGTGACGCAAAAGAAGAGGTCACTAGATTAGGATACATCATCTGGGAATCTCAAATATTGTGCCAATCCATCAAACGGTTTTTGAGATCTTTCTGTATGGATCAATGTGGTTTACCAACACGCTGAACGCAAGACCAAAATGCCATGCTGCGAAAATAATTTATGATGGGAAGAGAGCATATCCATAACCTGCATTACTTTAAAATTAGTGGCCATCTTTAATTAGTGATGTTTAAATTAAGCATAAGGCAACATAGGACTTAAAGAGAGGGTGAATCTTGTATTATTGTGAATTAGTGTTCTTATATACGCTAAGTACAATACATAAGGGGGCTGGTTAGTCTGTGTTGTTCCATGCTCAGACAATACTGTCCATCTAATCTATAATCATCCTAGTTAGGGCCGAGACTATGAATGACACCTGTCAGAGTTATTGACCTATGTTCCTTATTTGGGCAGGCTGGCCTAACAGCTGATGAAAATGGTCTGTTAGAAGTACGGTTCTTTAGTTATTTTCTCAGCCAGCCGTATTATTTCCATTAAAGTTGAGCTAACGAGTATACAGAAAGTCCACACAGCTTACTGAAAGATTATTTTAGAATGAAAGTTGTTTTCTGCAAACCCGTCCTCAGTAATAACACCCACATTACCTTCCACACACAAAGGTTTAGTCAGCTTCTCTCTCCCCAGGATGTGTTGCAAACATTATCATGCATATTACTCTGAGCCTGACGGGAATAAGATCAGATGAAACATCAGTGATCACTAAGGGGAAATGGGGATGTTTAGGCATCATCAAACGGTAATGGGAAGCAGAACAAATGAGGCACATTTAAACAAAACACTATTATTAGCCAGCTACTTCATTTGATTTAAATCATTTCACCTCATTTGCATCAGCATTCTGTAGAGATATCGCAGCCAAGAGATGCAAGCTGCGGGCTCCAAGATCTCACAGGCAGGGATGAAAAATATGTTAATGGAATAAGGAAAGGAGAGTGTCGTTAAATTGATTCCATCAGTTAAGAAATAAAAGCTTTCTTGGATTGTGTCATTTGAGATTGAAGAATAGAGGAAGTCTTTTTAGGGGATATTCTTTTGCAAATTCGTATGCTTGGAACTATCTTTAATGTGTCACCACCTCACCCACTGGCTTTGTCCTTTGGCGGGGAGGGGGGTTTGCTTCAGGACAGGCGCTATAACTGTCTCCTCTCAGGAATGACGGCGTGATCTGAAGCTCTTTTGCATGCTTGCGGCAATGCTTTAGTAGTGATCTCTCAAATACACCCTCAGTCCTCAGCATTGTCATTCATGTTGACTAAATCACTTTGAACTGTACAATTCAAGATTCTTTGAAAGAGAAAATACATGGGTAGAGATTGACAGACCCATGACCTGCCCTGACCTCTGGGTCTGCTTGGACTAAGCATGATTAATGAAATGAGAAGAACCTGAGCTTGGGAAAAAATAATGTGATGAGTGCGATGTGGTGCAAGATGCCAGAGATGCTGCAGCTCCTGGGTCATTTGGCCTCCGTGGGGAGTAGTA